GAGAAGAAAGAGGTAGCGGGGGGGGGAGAGGATGAGGGGAAAGAAGGTGGGGCGGGGGGGGAGGGGGGAGGGAGGGGGGAGGGGGGGGGGAGGAGGGGGGGGAGGGGGGGGCGGCGGAGGGGGGGGGGGGGGGGGGCAGCTACTAGGCACACAGGCTGATCTCCAAGGCCTAAAGAAAGCGAGGTTTCAAATAGGCACGCCATGCGCTCAAGAAAGCGGACTGATCATGCGACACAGGAGAGCGACAGCAAGAAGAAACACTGGTCTTCTTTTGAGAAACGCTATGGAGGGAGGGAAGTAGAAGAAGGCGCAGACAGAGGTTTCCAGAGTTCTCCACGAGCAGCCGCACAGGAGGCAGCAGGAGCAAGGGAGTTAGACAGTGTGAGCCACAGGGGAGGTGGACGCATTACAAAAAAAGCAGGAAGGAGTAAAGACGAGACGAGATAAGGGCAGAAGGAAAGCGCGAGAGAGTCAAAGGATATGGCAGAATCCAGATCTGAAGACGAGACTCAGCAGAGGACACCGACGGCTTAAATTTGCAATAAAGGAGGCAAATAAAGCGGCATTTAAAGGCTTGAAAAGTGAGACAAGTTGGGGAGGCACCTCTGGCTGCTGTTGCAAGTCCGGTGACTCCAGCAGCTCGAGCTGCTGGTGAACCTTGAGACTGCTCTCTGCGCTACCCATTGGTATTAGTGGGCTTCTTGCTGTCTCTGTCTCTGCTGCGCTTGTGCTGTTGCAAGCGAGAGAGGGCTGTCACTGCCGAGGTTTGCGGAGGCGGCAGCTTTCGCCACAAGAGGGCTAGAGACAAAGGCCTTTCTTGAAACGCGCTGCTGCTTGCGCAGTGGTAGTGCCTGCAAAAGGCAGGCTGCAAGAGCGATTTTGGCTGCCGCTGCTATCGTCTTGTTGCAAAACGATAGCTTGGTCAGCGTCAGCCTTAGGGGCCGTTCGCGTGCCGTGTTAGGCCCCGGCAGGGAGGGGGTTGAACGCGGTTTTGGGAGGGAAGTTGGAGGGGGTGGTACCGGGGGGAGGAGAGACAGAACAAAGGGGAGGGGGGACAGGGTAGCGGCGAACCCTCGCAAAGGCGCTTCTCAGTGACAACGAATCAAGCTGCTGGAGGGCAGGTGCTGGTGATGAGCGGCTGCAGCAGCTGCAGTGGCAGAGCTTGCGTGGTGTGTCTGGTACTGCGGCTGTACACCTGCGAGGCCCCTAAGGGGGCGTGTAGACGTGAAGCTGCCTATCTGCTGCTTTCCGCCTTGCGGCAGGCGTGCTTGTCTTCCCTCCAGCGTGGCACTCCAGAGCTGCGGCGGGGGTGTCGATGGGTTGTGTTGAGCTTGTCTCTAAATAAGTGCCGGTCAGGAATAAAATGTAAGCGGAGGAACACCAGGAAATAACAGAAGCCGCGGTAAGAGAGGCGCCGACGCTTCTGTGCAGCAGCGGCAAGTGCAGCGGCAGCAGCCGGCCCCATGCATGCACAGCTCTCACCCTCCGCTTCCTCGCGAGAAACCTGTTGAGCAGTCCCTTATGTAACCTTCTTCCCGACGTTTCAGTGTGGTTTTGACGCTGTTAGCGGTAGGGGAGCACGAAGAACGCGCCTTCGCCGTTCTTGCATTGCAGGGCTTGAGGATCGAGCTGCCCCCTCAAGGTTTCGAGTTGGAGCTTGCTGCTCCAATCCGACTCGAAAGCGTAGACGCCGCTACACAGAGGCACGCTTTATAGGGCCTGCTGCAGAGAGTCGTTTGCTCCAAACTCCAAATCTCGCTCTGCGCCTCGTCCTTTGAGGACGTCGAACACTCGGCGGACTGCCAGAAACGCGCAAACCCCGGCATAGCTGCCTTCCCCTTGCAGCAGCGACGCTGAGAAACGTGTAGCAACAGCAGCAGCGACAGCAACAGGCGGCTCGCAGGGGATAGGAGGCGCTGGGTGTAGGGGTCGTCGCCCAGAGCCACCGCTCGTTCTCCCTTGCCCCCTGCAACCTTCCACGACTATACGCGTTTCCGCGCCAACAGCTTGCTTTCTGCTTCCCTCCTTCCTTCCTCAACCATTCGACTGCACAAGCGTCAGCATGAAGGTGCGAGTGCTACAGCGCGATGAAGGCGGAGGGGTTCCCGAAGGACCTGGAGCCTTGCACCGCTGTTTCACGAATCGAGATCCGAGACTCCACCCTTTTCAGAAAGTGAGCGAAAATTTTAAAACACGGAATGACTGTCATCTGCCCGCTTCCTCTCCCCCAGCGGCTAGGGCACACAGAGAGAGCCTCCCCGGAGGTCTTTTGTTTTTCGTATTCCGCCTCGATGGCGGTGCCTTGGGGAGTCTGAAGTGAGACAGGTGCTCCTGCAGTTGAGCTGTCGCATTTCGCTGTACACTTTATCCTGACTGCTGTGCTAGTGCTCTCACTACTGCTGCTGTCACTACTGCTGCAGGAGAGGGAGTATGCACGAGCACTGGTGGCAACGAAGCTCTCCAAGATCTTCGCCAAACCCTTTTTAGCTGCCCTAGAGGGCCACACAGATGGGGTCAAGTCGATTGTGAAGGCGCGAACGCATCCTGTAATTCGTGAACTCTACTTGCCCGCAGCGTCCTCTTCCCTGCCGTATATATATATATATATATACATATATATCGGAGGCAGTCATGCACACAGCGTGCCGTAGGCTGCTCACGAGGAAAGAAGCATGCATGCGATGCGCAGCTGCTGCTGTAGCACCTCTTCCTACCGGTGATTCTGTGCGATTTCCATGTGGGTGCTCTTATGGTCTTAGGCGACTATCTTTTCCAGTTCTTGCAACGGGGAGATCTGTGCGTGGAACCTGGCTGGAAAGAGCTGCACTGCGCATATCAAGGCGCATGAAGGATTCGTTCGAGGTACTGCTTGCCTGCATTGCTACACACCGACAACTGCTGTTTTTGCAGCAATGGAAGCAGAAGCAGCCAGGGAGAGTCTTTCCGCCACATGCATATCCGCCGAGGGAGGCGCTTTTGATTTTTTGCGTGCCTCTCAGGTCTGGCGATTTCACCGCGCGATGCGTTTTTGATATCTGGAGGAGACGACAAAAAGATCAAACAGTGGCGAATCCCCCCCCGATCCCGCCTGTCTGAGCTGGACTGTGAGGCTGCAGAAAGACTGCAGACGGATGAAGGCCTCTTGGAGCGGCTGCAAGGCACTGAACTTGTCCACAAACGTGGCATCGATCCAGAAGTGAGCCAGCGTTCCTCGATTTCTCTTGCAGGCAGAGGAGCCCTTAGGACCGGCATTCGCGCGGGTTTTGAATTCGGCTAGACGTCGAGGTGCGGAGTCTGTACCGCCTATTGCTGGGGTTGGGGGGAGCGATTCAAGGATCTTTGAGGCTGCGTGTGCTTGTTTGCTTGCAGCCCGTCAGTGTGTTCACGACAGACTCCCCAGTGACAAGTCTGGATTACCACTGGCGACGGCACCTCTTTGGTAAGCTCTTCATTGCGTGCGTGAACCAAGTCTGAATCGAGAGTTTCAAGCCTCCTCGGGACGCCGTGCCTTTTTGTGTCCTTTCCGCCGCGTCAATAATATGTGCCTTTCTGAAGGCTAGACTTGCCTCTAAAAGCCGCTCGACGGATGAACTTGGAATTCAGGATGTGTTTGCGCGCAGCGAGCACTGGGGAGGCGGTGCAATTGTGGGAGCCCCACAGGTCGACGCCTCTCCAGACCTTCTCCTGGGATTCTGACGCCGTCTACTGCGTTCGATTCAATCCATCGGAGGTTCGTTTACGAGGCTGGCTAGCAGGACAGCTTTTTTTCCAGCCATCTGTCCTGAAGTGGAGTGGCACTATTCATCTGTCTGTATATGCTTTTTAGCCACCCATTTCTCCCGGCCGGGGTCCTCTGTATCCGGTTGAGTAATGCGAGATGACATTCGAACAAACGTCATGAAGGTTCGAATGTGCGCGGAGCGCCAGATAAGCCTTTCCCCGCTTTTTGTGGCTAGGCCTATCCTGGAAGCTGACTGTGCCTTTGTTTGCGAACTTTGCGGCGAGTTTGTTCGCAGACTTCTGTCTTTGCCGCCGGCCTTAGTGGGAACTCGGTCGCCCTGTATGGTAAGGAGTTCTAGGCTTGCATTTTTCGCAACTTGAGATGTTTCCATTTCCTCTTTATTGATCCTGTGTGGCGCTTGGTCTTCTGCCACTCTTTCCCTTGAGGCATCGTCTGTGAGGCAGGACTTACAGACAGCCATTCGTGAAGGGTTCGTTCGTTGGTGCTTCAGACATCCGCGGCAACACCCCAATCCGTAGAGTGCTCATGAAGGTCAGTCCCTCAAACCAGAGCTCACTGCTCATTTTGCTTGGCATAGCGGCTCAGTAAGCTGATATACGGTGATTTGCGTATTGCGATGACTTTCGTTTCTCCGTGCGATCGATACACCTCAGCCGTGCAATTGTGGGTACTTTTGGGATTGCAGATGAGGACGAATGCGATTAGCTGGAATCCGATGGAGCCCATAAATTTTACGGTGGCGAACGAAGACCACAATCTTTACACCTATGACATGCGCAAGCTCAGTGAAGCCCTCAGAGTTCATAAGGATTTCGTCAACGCTGTGTATGCCAAAAACTCTACACCTGAATCCCGACACGTCGCCCCTTCAGCTCTAAGTGTCAGGCGCTTCTCCGTATGGAGCCCTCAAAGGGACCGCAACAGCATCTGAAGATTAGCCGCAGATGCGATTGCAGCCGATGCTGAGGAATGAGAGCTGTAGCCATGTACTGTGCGACAGGTCTACATGGAGTGCAGCTTCCCATAAGCCGCTCCCACGGGTCTCCTAGCAGTACCGTTGGGGTGTCGAGAGTCCCTGTTTTCGTGTTCGTGCCATAGCCGCAAATACTTGAATTGAGGCATTTGTACTCAAGTGCAGATAGTGACGCAGAGGGAAAACAGAGAGCGTGCAGCACATGTGCAGGAAAGAGAGAATCAAGCTCAATCAGATCGAAAGAGAGCTTGTTCACGGTGTCTTGTACTGCCACTCAGACTTGACGTGGACTATTCGCCTACCGGGAAAGAATTTGTCGCGGCCTCTTTTGACGGTACAATTCGCATCTTTAAGGCTGATGATGGCAGGAGCAGAGACATATATCACACTCGACGAATGCAGAGGTAAGCGTTGTAATTTCCTGCTCTCTGCCTCGATCATACTCTCTGCCATTCCTGCGGACGCCCAACCTAAGACACAGGCCTCTTAGCAGCCATACACAAATGCAACAGCTGCGTTTGGGCGTGTTGGTTGTTCCCCGTGTAACTCTAGTTCTGTGTTCTTGGCATGGCGTCTTGCCCCTTCCATGTGTGGTTTTGCTTTCTGCTATTCATTTTCTCGCATCTCCATAGGCATCTGCATCTTATTGACTTATAACTGTTATCTCCCGGGGTCCCTGTGTTGCTGCTTCTGCAGCGTGTTGAGCTGTCGTTTCTCCGCAGACGCGCGATTTGTCCTTAGCGGCTCAGCAGACATGTGCCTCCGCGTGTGGAAGGCAGAGGCAGCGGCCCCTTTGGGCCCTCAAACGTACAGAGCCAGGGCTGCCGTCAACTATAGGAAGACTCTACAGGAGAAATACGGGCATCTGCAGGAAATAAAACGCATTGCGAGGTCAGAGCACCAGCTGAGCAGGGGGCTTTGTGACGGGGGCGTTGCGCAGGTTGGCTTGGTGGGTAGAGTTTGAGCAAGAGTCAGAGGCTGCCGTAGGCTTTGTAGGACTAGTGTGGCAGTATCTGCGAAGCAACGCCAGCTTAGAGAAGCAGGTTTGTGCTTAAAACCAAAACTCCGAGCCGGCGATTCTGCTGCTGCAGACACCATCACGTGCCTAAGCTAATCAAGAAGATTCAGGAAAAGAAGCGGGTAATGAAGGAATCTGTGAAACGCAGGGTGAGTCGTTATATGGAGATCTGCGCCCTCGCGTTGTGGCGATTTAGTCGTGGCTTGGCTTATTTTTTTCACTCTGTAGTGACAGTATAGTGTGGGAGTTTGTATCTCTGGGGCTGCCTATGTTCCCCAGGAGGACAACCGCATTGCTCACTCGAAGCCTGGCCATCACAAGCGCGTTCCTGAGCGCAAGAAGGCAATCTACAGAGAAGTGGAGTAAAAGGCAGACATGGATGCAGGAAGTGCAACGCAGGTCGAAGAGCTTCCAAGGAGAGCTCGTATGGGGATTTGCGTCTCCACGAGATTTTGAACGTGAATTGAATGCTACATGCAAAAGGAGCTAGCTCATGAGGCAGGAAGTCGCAGGCTTCTTTCTGAGGCGGAGCAGACGCAGTGGGAACGCAAGCTGAAAGGGCTTCATGGCTTGCTGAATTTCGGAGAGGGTGAAACGGGGGAATCGTGTTCGTGGCATTCGAGAATGCTGAACGAGCTTAAAGGAAGGCCCTAGAGCGCCCGTAGAAGCCATTCGGAATTCCAGTCTCGGGCTGGGGGGGTGGGGGGTTATCTCTAAGGGCTGGGGGAACGGTTGAGCTGAACGGCGCGACAACCTGCATGTAGAGAGTGTATATGTATATAAGTGCAAAAGCATGTGCAGTGAAAAAAGTGGAGTGCCACTACTCTCAAGGGGGCCATTTAGGAGCTGTTTCAGTCCGAGGGTCTGGCCTTACTGTTAAAGTCTCGCCGTTGATTTCTTCGGTTGGCGTCAATTCCGCCTCGTTGGGGGCCTCCTTTTGTGTCTCAACTTCGCTTTCATGTTCGGCCGAAAAATCAACAGGTCCTGTTCAATCATCAAAGCCCAAGTACGACGGAAGTTGAGCAAAAATATATCAGCTAGGTACAATGCAGCAATGCTATCATCATTCTACCGTTCGCTTGCATCTGGCGAAAGACCGGCTGCTTCCCGCAAGGCAACCGCCCCGTAGAGTGCGTTGGCTGTGGGGGTGGCTGATGGGCTCCCGGATTTGAGTGAGACGCTACACGGCGGTTTATCGTTTCAGCGTTTTCTTCCATCGTTGGCGGCTGGCTAGCTTTTGCTGCAGCGATGGATGTCTGAACACGAAGAAAACAGCCGAAATAACAAGAGGCTGACAATACAGAAACGCGTGTTGTTCGAGAAATCCGCTGCCAAAACGGTTACCAGCAATGCGTCGGTTGCCACCGCCACGCGGTTGTCACCTAAAGGGCAGAAGAAATAACGGAAACGGCAAAGCAGAAGTACAGCATATTTTTCAGAATTGCAAGGAAATATATAATAAGAACGCACTAAGGGCCTCCCGGCGTTCGCGAGCCATTTCCTCGATTTCGCTCTGAGATTGCAGAAGCATTATCTTAGTTTGGGGTCTGCCCGTTCAGAGCTGTCAGAGCGCAACGCACGTCTACTGTTTCTTGTAATCTGCTGGCGAGCACCTGCAGTGAAGCAATGAAAGGTATGCACTTTGACTAATAGAAAAAATCTCAGCGAAAGACGTACCAGTTGGGCTTCCTCGGTTGCCTTCTTCTCTCTGGCTTCTTCGTCGACTCCATCCTGGGTGGAACAAAGCTCGAGGTCAGAAGGCCAATGAGATGAAGGAGTATGACACATACGAATATCCGGAGCTTCATTTCCGGAGGCTCTCGGGGCGGCTGTGTAGCATAACCGCCTTTCCTGTGTTGTGAGAGTTTAGGGGCTTAAGGCTATTGTAAACTGCAGTGTTTCTCTACTTCTACCTTATTTTTTCCTCGTCAGTTGGATTCTGGGAGTGTTCTTTCGCTTGCATGAATCTGCTTCCGTTGTGGCCCTGGTCGCCAAGGATCTCATTGAACATAGTCTGGGATAAGTCGAATGCGGACTGGAATTTCTGTAGGAAGATAATTAGTAGCAGTCTTTAGTAGACATAAGGAAACCAATAGTTTAATATTGATCGGACCTCATGGACATCTTTGAGATCGGTAAAAGAAGTCCAGAGCTCCTCGGCCGCCTCCCTTTCCTCATCGTTGAGATGCTCAAGAGACGGCGGCTCTACCCCAATCTGAGATGAATCTTCATTATCGGCCAAAGCAAAGTAGAATAAGGCACAGAATAGCAAAAGCTTCATCATATTATTCCCTCATATTCCTAGAATATCCCGTGTCTACCAGCGTATCGCACAGATTACACATAATTCAACACTACAAAGACCCACTCAGGTGTACAAACAGCTGGGCCACTTATTTGTTCATTAAACTGCTTTTGTGGCTTCATGTGTGGATTAGATCTCATCTGTTTGATGGACCATTGAATCTGCAGATGAACAATTTATTTGGTCATCAGTGCACTTGCGCGCGGTTCTCCGGTAGTTCGACTATCTTCTTAAGAGCAGGAGAGGGCTTTGTGCTACAGTGCATGTAGTTGCAGCCCTTTCAGTGCAGCAAGGTATCGAAGCGACTCCGCTCTGCGGGTTGTTTTTTGTATTGCTGGGTGGCCCATGTTGTGTTGAACACTGCTAGAGTGTGGGGCCCCGCACTAGTAGCGATGACCAGAAAAATCAAAGCAGTTACGAATAGGGTTTTCTGCACTTCGTCTAATATTTAAAAGTAGACAAGTTGAAAGAAACCCGCGATAACTCTGAGGCTCCGCGGAAGTACCCCCGGGGCTTGCCTGCGGGGGGCCCACACCCGCTCAAAGTAACGTCACTTCCTGGACCATTGGCTCTTCTCCCCGTGTACATCTCTTATTCGGTTTTGAAGATGCAGCGGCGGCCAAATATTCTGGTGACCGGCACTCCCGGCGTGGGGAAAACGACTTTCTGCCAGCAGCTGGCTGAGGATCTCGACCTCGAGCACATAAATGTCGGAAAGTTGATTAGTGACGAATCATTGTTTCAGGAATGGGACGATGAGCTGAAGTGCAGCATTTTTGACGAGGATAAGGTGGCGGATAGATTGAATGAACTGCTTTCCTCGGGAGGTAAACTCGTGGATTTCCACTCATGCGATTTCATGGAACCCTCTTGGTTTGCTCTGGTGTTTGTCCTGAGAGCTGAAACACACATTATTTATGACCGGCTCGCAGCTCGACATTACTCAGAAAGCAAAATTCAGGAAAACGTCCAGTCGGAGATTTTCCAAGTCCTTCTCGATGAAGCAACAGAAACATTCGGGGAAGAAAAAGTTACACAACTGCAAAGCAATGTCATGGATGACCTTACTACCAACATTGCAGTGGCAACACAGAAGTATCAGGCAGCTCTGGGGGTAGCATGCGGCCAATAACACATACTGCAGAGGGACGGTGGGTTCCCACTCGTCGAAGAGAGCCCAGACACAAATCCAGAAGGGGCTTCCTTTGGGGTTCATGCCGATTCATTTCACCTCCGCCGATCTTAAAGCATGGAGGTTCAATTGGAAACCGACACCACACTGCGGCTCCCATCGGCGGCGAGGCCTTTTTATGAGTTCTTCTGCCTACGTGTACGATTTTACCCCTTTGCTGGCTAAGATGTATACCCCAACTTGGTGTAATCTTTCGCAGCATAGTTTTCTTTTAACGTTCCTGCAGTTAATCCTGACCCATTCGGCGCTGCGACACATTCGATGGTTAATTTATACGTGCCACTGCACTTTTCCGGGGCCCCGTGCAATGCAAAACAGCACCCTGGCCTCCCCCACCTGACTGCTTGCCTTTTGACTGGCGAGCAATCAGATGCATCCCATCCCTCATGCAAAGCAGCGTGTATTGAGAGGGGCCTCCAGGTGCAGCAGCAGAGCAGGGACGCGTAACTATCTTGAGAATCTAGCGTTTGGGCTGAGTAATTAGTGGTCTGGAAATGCAAATATATGGTGAGTTGTGCAAAGGCATGCAGATACCAGATGGCACTGGTGTAGGAGTTCTGCATCATTTTCCTCGGTGCAAGTTAAGCTAGCTTTACAGCAGGTTCAAAACGATCTATATAAATAGACAGCACTACGGTGGACAATTATATGTGTGCATTATCGGCTTGTGTCCTGTATGCATACGCGCCGTGATGCATGTATACTATTGGACACAATGCGTATACAGCCCCTGCACATTCTCAGTTTTCATAATTTTTAGCGAAACCGTCGATGCGTTTCTATCTTGTGCTCCACTGGTGTTTAGTCCTGCTCCGCGATGGCGGTGAGGTGGGCCTCGATCTCCTGCTCGGATAGCCGACGGAAGTCTGGTTCTGCCTTAGATACCACTCCCACTTCAATATCCTCAGCCTTCAGGTCCGATGCCAACACCTTAAGAAAGACGACACAACAACGCAGAAAGGAACACGACTACGCATATAATACGGCACTCGTAGAAGCAGAAGGGGGACAACATGATACATGAAAAAAAAAGACTTCGGCGGAGGGCGTTGAAAGAGCATTGAAGTTTCCCGGATTGCGACAAGAGATCATAAAGAGAAAGATAGGGACGCCTCAAACAAAAATTGAAGTGAACGCGAAACCACACCAAATAATACTTTCCTGATAGATATGTGCCAACACATCATGAACCCCCCATACCAGAGGCAGCACAAAACAGCATTCACGCCTCTGATAGTTGGTGCCTGAACCACACATGGTGCACTCTGAATAGAGGCGGTGCGGTCTTCAGGGTATACCCAAAACCATGCAGCTTACCTGCTGAAGCGCTGAAATGGCAAGTCGGATAACTTGCTCTGGTGTTTCTGTTTTCTTCTTCTTGAGGAGTTTTTCCAACAAATTGTTGGCCTCCTGCTCCTTGGCTCCCGAAGCGCATGCACGATAGCCCGCAACGAAACCCGCGGGGTCGAACTTAAAGACTTGCGGTCCATCCTCTTCGTCGATCGCTATTATGACGCCAGCTGTATTGCACACACACAAGTGCAGCAAGCCACGGAGATCTCAAACCCTCCATCCCATGCGAAGATCAGCAGCCACACCTGAGGGGTGGAAGCATGTATACATATATATACATATATATATGCATATATATATATACATACATGTGCAAGGCTTGCCTTTGTTGAGGGTTTGTAGTGTGTAGAGGGACTTACTGCATGCATGCAGTCGCATGTACGCGAACTGGGTGTAAACTTGATTGAGATCGGCCAGCCTTGTGGCTAACGCCCTTGGGGGCATACTGTATCCATATTTGTAGGCGAACTCTGCAGCTTCTTGCTGTGCCCTCACGGCCATAGAACGGCAGTCTGCCTGAATGCCAATGAGGCTGCTGCCGATGCCCTTTGAAAGCGAATACACGGATGTAACGTACGAGCGGTCGAGCAGTTTGTCTTGCTGGAGCTGCTGCTGCCCCACCTTTCTCTGCACCACTAGACATGCTGCATTTTCTCCCTTGATCGCGATCGAGGTCAAGTTGCAGTTCTTCACCGCCTTTATCGCGTACTCCACCTGGTAAAGGTTGCCATCGGGGGAGAAGATTGTAATGTGGCGGTCATACATCGCCTGCCCTGAGCCCCTCGCCATTTGCACTACACGCACACGAAAATTCTCGGCGTGCTGGACGGTTGTAGTTTCTGCAGTTGATTTCTCCGGGGATGCAGGATATATCGCCACGATCGGACCTCGTATTGCCTCCGCAGCCAGCGATAACGCCGTTGAATCGGTGCAGTATCCTTGTGGATGTCGCTGCGAACGACGTTTGGCACAAAAAGAGATTTTTGCCCCAGGGGCTGTTGCTGCAAACCCCCCTGCTGCTGCTGCTGCCACCGTTGAACCTGCAGTGAAGTGAATGTTGCGACAGCAGGACTGTCTTTGCTTAAGGCGTCAATCGGTGCGGAGGAGGTATCGGCGTATAACGGCTTAACAACGGCGGCTAGGCAACAGCACGAGCAGCAGCAGCAGCCGTAGCAGAGGCCTTTGGGCAAGCGGCGACGGCACCCGCACAGAGCAACGGGTAGAAAACGTTTCCAGGATAGCGTCTGTAACAATAAACACACAGCATTCCATCGGCAGATGCATCATCAGAGGGGCCAAGACAAGTCCAGCTCGCTTAGATGCCCCTGCGGGATACACAAGCAGCAGCACCAGCAGCAGCCGCGCTGCATGTCTGCATGTCTGCAGCTGCCGACACTCCCCCCCGCAGTGGCACGACTTGTAAGATCCTGCGGAGAAATACATTTTTTTGGTGTCTTGTCCCTCCTCGGTTCCATTGAAACTCACCTTCCCCGGCAAAACACCAAGAACCCTGCGCGCTACCCCCTCTTTAGCCAACGGCGCGCAGACGCATCTCACCAACGCCAGCAGCTCCGACAGCAGAAGCGACACCTGCAAGAACGGCAACAGCTGCAGTGGCCGATGAAACAGAGGCCCTGCACTTTAGAGAGAGAGAGAGAGACAGGGAGAGAGAGAGAGAGACAGGGAGACTCGTTCTGATGGGCAGCAGCGGTCTATAACCTGCAGCACTTCACGACTTTCCGGCAGCAGCAGCAGCGACAACGGCAACGGCAACGAAGGGCTTTCCAGGAGCGGCGACAGCAGTGAGGATGGCGCTGTGTCTCTTGCACCTGCTGGAGTGTGTGCTGCTGCTACTGAATGCTGCTGCAGTTCTGAACGCTGAGCGCTTCCTCAGGAAACTCCGGCTGCACTCAGTGTCTGCTGCCGCTGCGGCTTCTCCTACTGCAGCAGAGGAAGGGGGGTGGCGCATGCAAGTCGCCCTGCTGCTCTTCTCCATCCGCACTTATCTTAGAATACCCCTCGTCGCAGCGAACGTCGTGGTTATCGTCTTTGAGCTCCTGTTTGGCTAGGCCCCTGCACCTGCCGCGACTGTACAGTTTCTGCTGCCTGTGCATGTGGCTAAAGAGACTGATGGGAGCAAGGCGCTGCCTCGAAAGCATCACCATCAGCAGCAGCAGTGTCGATAGGCAATGTAACAACAGCAACAGCAGAAACAACAAAGCCAACCGAAATCACGATGGCGAGCTCTGCCTTCAAAGAGCAGCAGGCCGCTGCTATCCAGCGGCTGGTTGCGGAATACGTGGAGCATCAGTTTCTTCGTGTCTTGGATATTCCTTTGACGAGCAACAGCAATGGCAACGGCAACAGCAATAGCAACGGCAACAGCAATAGCAACAGGAGTCGTGCAGACGACAGCGACGCGGCTGTGACGGCAGACAACAAGAAGAGAGCCGTTGATTTTATGATTGAAGGGATTCAAAATCATTCCTTTGGGGTAGGTGGGGCACGTCCAGAGACGGAGGGACGAACAGTAGCAAAATCAGCAACACCATCGGTGGCAGCCTAAGCCTGTAGTTAGTAGAAAGGCTAGGCTGCGCTACTCCAGTCGAAGCCAGTGAAAGGGAGTCTTTTTGTTGATGTGTTATGCAGACAGTGGACGGAGCTGCCGTCCTCGCGGAGTTGCAGCAGCTGCAACAGCAGCTAGAAGTGCAGCAGCTGCCCTTACATGCTGCTGCTCTTCAGTCTGCATGCGCGGAGTTTGTGGGTGGAACGCGAAGAGGCGGCGAGGACGGCGGCAGCAGGCGTGTGCAGCAAATGGATGAAAAGTGTGGAGCGCTGCTGCTTTTGCTGCATCTCTCAAAGGGCTTTTTCTCGGAGAGAGAGACTGTTGGCAGCAGTTCCTTGTTGTTTTTGCAGCACAGCCGTCAGGTATCTCTTGCTGTTGCTATTGCTATTGCTATTGCTATTGCTACTGCTGTTGCTGTTGCTATTGCTGTTGCTATTGCTACTGCTGTTGCTATTGCTGTTGCTACTGCTGTTGCTATTGCTATTGCTATTGCTATTGCTGTTGCTGTTGCTATTGCTATTGCTGTTGCTATTGCTGTTGCTATTGCTGTTGCTATTGCTATTGCTATTGCTACTGCTGTTGCTATTGCTGTTGCTACTGCTATTGCTATTGCTGTTGCTATTGCTGTTGCTGTTGCTATTGCTATTGCTACTGCTGTTGCTATTGCTGTTGCTACTGCTATTGCTGTTGCTACTGCTGTTGCTATTGCTGTTGCTATTGCTGTTGCTGCTGCTATTGCTGTTGCTGTTGCTATTGCTATTGCTGTTGCTACTGCTGTTGCTACTGCTGTTGCTACTGCTGTTGCTATTGCTATTGCTGTTGCTATTGCTACTGCTGTTGCTACTGCTATTGCTATTGCTACTGCTGTTGCTACTGCTGTTGCTGCTGCTGTTGCTGTTGCTACTGCTATTGCTGTTGCTGTTGCTATTGCTGTTGCTATTGCTGTTGCTATTGCTATTGCTGTTGCTGTTGCTATTGCTACTGCTATTGCTATTGCTGTTACTGTCGGGGTAGGCGACCTGACTAAGAGCATGCATCAGCCTCTTAGGGGGTTTAAACGATTGCGGTTTGTGGAGATCCTCTTTGTTTTTTTCGCTATCTCTCTCTCTCTGTCTCTGTCTGTCCCTCTCTTTCAGCGTGCTGCTGCTGCTGCCGAGGAGCAGCAGAGGCAGGAGGCAGCGGCCAGGGCAGAGCTGCTACAGCTGATGCATCAGCAGTCTCAGGAGTATATGCTTTCTCCCAGCGTCAGCCGCAGCAGCAGCAGCGCGAGAAGCAGTCACCGCAGCAGCAGCTGCAGCAGCGAGAGTAGCGACGGTGCATGCGTGCAGCAGCAGGAAGCAGCTAGTCTTTTATCCTTGTCCCTTCGGATAGGCGTTGCACCAAAGAGCGAGATGCAGCAGCAGCAGCAGGAGGAGCAGCAGCAACGGCTTGTGCAGGTACTACAACAGCAGCAACAGCTAGTAGAGAGTCAGCAGGCGCGCCGCTTCCACAGAATGGCTATCCAGCATCTCTCTTGGAAGCACCAAGAGCAGCAGCAGCAAGGGCCAGATCTCATGCGTCTCGAAAAAATGATATTAGAGGTAGGGGGGTAGTCTTGGTGGTGACGGTACTGATACTGCTGATACTGATACTGCTGATACTGATACTACTGATACTGATACTGATACTGCGGATACTGATACTGCTGATACTGATACTGCTGATACTGATATTGATACTGCTGATACTGATACTGCTGATACTGATATTGATACTGCTGATACTAATACTTATACTGCTGATACTGATACTGCTGATACTGATACTACTACTGCTGCTGATACTGATACTACTACTGCTGCTGATACTGATACTACTACTGCTGCTGATACTGATACTGCTGCTGATACTGATACTACTACTGCTGCTGATACTGATACTACTACTGCTGCTGATACTGATACTGCTGATACTAATACTGCTGCTGATACTGATACTGCTGATACTGATACTACTACTGCTGCTGATACTGATACTACTACTGCTGCTGATACTGATACTGCTGATACTGATACTACTACTGCTGCTGATACTGATACTGCTGATACTAATACTGCTGCTGATACTGATACTGCTGATACTGATACTACTACTGCTGCTGATACTGATACTGCTGATACTGATACTACTACTGCTGATACTGATACTGCTGATACTGATACTACTACTGCTGCTGATACTGATACTACTACTACTGCTGATACTGCAGCTGTTAGTGGGTGCGAGGCCAAAAGATTTATGTGTTTTTGCGTGCAGCAATTGGAGCCGCAGATCGGCAACAGCAACAGCAGCAGCAGCAGCAGCAGCGAAGCGACTATAGGAGCAGGGCAGCTTGCTCCTCCCCCTTTTCGCGTAGTTAGCTCCATCTCTGACAGCAGCACTCAGAGCCGCCATCGCCTTGTACGGGAAGTTCAAGTTGCTGTTTTCATACTGGGGGTGTCTCTGTCTGTCTGGCTAGCTGTCTGTCTGGCTGTCTGGCTAGCTGGCTAGCTGGCTGGCCTGCATTGCCGCGTGCTGGTGTTTCTTGCGACAGCGGTAGCAAAAGGGCTTTGCACGTTGCGTGTTTTCTGCTCGGTGTCTTTTCTGCGTTTTCTTTGCGCTTCTCACGGGAGGATGCACCTGCCTTTGCCGATTTTCCTCTTGATGATGGTGATTGTGATGGTGTTGCTTGCTTGCTGCAGGTTAGCGAGGCGTGGGTGATTGAGCGGCTGCTTGTGGCACTGGGAGCTGGCGATGGCAGTCCGCTACTGCAGCGTGTACGACCGTTGTGCAGCTTCAGGAGCAACAGCGGCGAGCTGCCTCAAGTGCTGCAGATAAATGGCTGCCTGCGGCTGCTGCATCTCTCAGCTGGTGCCCTCAAGAATGCGGTGGGTGCCTTCCTCGCAGGAGCTTCGGCAGTCCTCCTGCTGCATTTGCTGCTAAGCCGCGCATTTGCTGCTGGTACGTCGCTGCAGGCGTTGCAGGAGCAACTGCACCAGCAGAAGCAGCAGCAGCAGCAGAAGCAGCAGCAGCAGCAGCAGCAGCAGCAGCAGCAGCAGCAGCAGCAAGGGCGCTTGCGCCGGGAGCCCGTCCCTATAGGCGTGGCAACGCATGCAGCCGCTGCTGCAGCGGCCGCTGCAGCAGCGGCTACCGAGCGGCAGCAACATGGCTTGTTGCCGCGTTCTTTGGCGGAGTTGCTGCTCGATCAGCCTCGGCAACAGCAGCCTCAGCAGCAGCAGCAGGAGGCGACGAAGGGGGGGTGGGGTCGGTGGTTGGAGCAGCAGCTACGCCCTGCACAAGGTCCTTGGAGTCGCAGTCTTGAGGCTTTTCTTTTTGCTGTGCAGCTGCTGGAGCGGCAGTGGACGGCGCAGCTGCAGCACATCCGGCTGCTGCAGTTGCAAGCGCTTCATGAGGAGTGGGGATCTGCATGCGACACATACGACGCGCTGCAGCCTTCTGCAGCAACGGCAGCCTTGGCGACTGAGGGGCCTCTCCCTCCGCTGCCTTGTCTGAGCGAGGCAGGGAGCGCAGCGCGACACGCCTCCCCCTCCACTCGTCCCCCCACGCTGTTGTGGCTGCAGCAGCAGCTCAGCGGAGGACTGAGCTGCTGGACGGAGACGGCGGAGATTCTAGAGGCTGCTCTCAACGCGGCGGCATCCGACTGCAGCAGCAAGACATGTCCACTCGACGCGTCGGCAGTCACGGGGGCGCTTTTGCGGCTGCTGCTGCAGCGGCTGCAGCACGCGGAACTGCGCGGCGATCTGGTGCAGCAAAAGCTCCTTCGCTTCCTGCTGCTGCATGCGTCAGCCCCCCTGCTGAAGCATGTGGACTTGCTGCTGTGTTGCGGGAAAAGCTTGGACGGGCAGCAGGAGTTTCCCTGCGCAGATGCGACTGCAGCCGCGGCAGGCTTCGTACGCAGCAGCAGCTGCTGGTGGGGTGTCTTGCGGCAGTGTCTGTGTGACGCGGCAGTCACTGGAAATGCAGTGGCAGTGGCTGCAGCCTTGCGAGATGCAGCTGGAACGCTGCGGCGAGATGCAGGGGGGTCGAGGGGAGAGCAGCAGCAGCAGCAAGAGCTGCAGCTGCTGCTGAACGACTGTCCATACACGGCTGCTGCAGCAGCCGCAGTGGATGTTGCAGGTGGAGAAGACGGCTTCTGCTTGAACATCACTGCTGCGCTTTTAGAGCTCGCAAAGGCTGAGCAGCAACAGCAGCAAGCAAGGCAGCAGCAGCAGCAAGCAAGGCAGCAGCAGCAGCAAGCACAGCAGCGGCGTGCTGCAGAGGCAGCAGCATTTGACACAAAGGGCCCCAGCAGCAGCAACAGCAGTAGCAGCAGCACTTCTGAGCTTGTGTTGCTGACAGACTTTTTGCAGCAGATCTACGAGCATTTTCGGAGTTGGCATTCGATTCCATGTTGCGAATTGCGACGGCAGAAGCAGCGGCAGCAGCACGCAACGCGTGCTGTAAATGCAGTGCTCGAGGCAGGGGGGCATTCGCGTCTTGCGCTCGCTGCAGAGGAGGCCGACACCTGCAGCAGCAGCCTCAAACGCTGCACGAGCGGCAGCGAAAGCGAAGCAGAAGATGCCGCTGCATGCGCGTTCTTGCTGGCTAAGGCAGACGCCTCTCCTCGGAGTTCTCGACAGCAGCACGTGGCGCATCGAGAGGCGAGATCGGAAGCGCAGAAGGCAATCCTGCAGCAGCTGGAGCTCGTGCCTACAACTCTGCAGCTGCAGCACTTGCTTGTGATGCCTCTTCGGCAGCTGAGAACGAGTGGACGGCATCTTTTGCTGCTCGAGACGCTGCAGCAAGGCTTTGCTCTTGAGCGGATCTCAGCACTGCGCGCGCTCTTCTCACTGCAGGTACAACAGCTGTTGTTGTTGCTGCCTCTTTTGCGTCTTTCCCCCTTTTCTCTGCCCCTGAGTGAATGCGGTCTAAGGCTCATGCCACCACTCTAGAGAGTCGGACACTCCCCGTTAAGGCTGCTGCTCTTGCTGCTGCTACTGCTACAGCGAGCGCGTCTTATTGCTGCTCTTACGTGTGTAGACACCTCCTCTTTTCGTGCAGGTTGAGCCTTGGCTGCTGCCGGTGCTGCGGCTTCTCTACGGGAGGGCAGACGCCCCTCTGGCACACGTCGATCCTCTTTTGCTCAACAGTTTGCTTCAGGAAGCATTTGCGAGCAGCAGCAGCAGCAGCAGCAGCAGCGGTATTACCGAGAGCAAGCGGCAGCTGTTGAAGGCACTGGAGGGTCCTCAGACGGCTTGCCAGCAGCAGCAACAGCAACAGGGGAAAGACTCCCTCAGCAGAACGCAGCAGCCTGCGGCAGCAGCATTGCCAGGGCATAACGAAGGCGTTGCGTGGCAGTTGCACACCCGCATGCGCGCAGTGCTACGGGATGTAAGTGGCGATTCTGAATCTGTCCACGACAGCAGGAGGGGGAAGCAGAGCAACAGGAGTAGCAGTTTGACAGCAGGGGTAAGGGCGGGGTATGCCGCTCTGTATGCGGATCTCTTTTCACTGCAGCGGCAGCATGCAGCACTCAGCGAAATCGTGATCTCCCTAGAGGAAGCTCCAGAAATCCTCAAGACGGCTTCCCAAAGAACGCTCTCCTTCTCCTGCATGCAGGTCCGTGAAGCATCCCTTAGCCGCATTTGTTTTGCCGCTGTTGCTGCTGTTGCTGACGCCGATGCTGCTGCTGCTGTTCTTTCGGGGGCGTTTGTGTGTTCGGCTGGTGCTGCCTGCATGTATATGGTAGAGTGCTCGCACTCATGCGGGGTGGAGGGAGGTGAGGGGAAGACACGAGGGAGAGTCTCCTGTCTTGCATCTGCCTTGCGTTATGAGTTTCTTCTCCTGCCGCAGCTAAAGCAGAGGAACCTTCGAGCTGGCATTCCGACTATTCTGCCTGAACAGGCCCTTGCAGCTGCTTCAGCGATTCTTGCATTCACCTTGGAGCTGCGGCGAGCTGCTCTGGTGTCTGAGCACCTCCCGGAAGTTTCCCCTGTGTTGGCTGCTGCATTCCAGCAGCAGCGGCGAGGCTTCAGCGGCGCTGCCAGCAGCGCAGTCCTCGCTCAGTTCTATGGAAGAGTGCTATCAGCTAGGCACGAGCTGCTGCACCTGCTGCACGGGATGCATGCATATGCGGGTCAGTGTATCTACGCAACGGAGGCGCCGCTGCTGCGGCTGCTGCTGCAGTGCAGCAGCACGGAGGAGCTTGCTGCGCGGCATGTGCAGCACCTGCTTTTGCTGCTGGCTGTGCTGCTCGTTCCTTTGTCTCCAGAGGCAGCAGCGGCTGCCGAATCGGATGCAGCAGCGGCAGCAGCAGCAGCAGCAGCAGCCGCGAGTGGTGTTGGTGGGGTCACTGCAGCAGCAGAAGCAGCTGCAGCAGGTGTCATCCCCTCTTCACCCCTGAGTTTCGCCTTAAATGCTGCCGCAGCATCACACATTCTCACTTTGCTGAGAGCACCTTTGCAGTTGCTGCATGTCTTGCGGCGTGCAACGGCTGCTGCAGGACTGCAGCAGCAGCCTTTGTTGCTGCTGCAGCAAAACGATCCCCTCATGGTAGACTTCTCGGTGCCTGATGCTGCAGAGCAGCAAGAATCGCAGCAGGAGCAAGAAGCATGCAGGAGTGCGTCGCAGACGCCTCGAACTCCCCGCCGCTCCCTCGAGCGCTTCGACAGCAGCAGCCACAGCAGCCCGAGGGAGCGCATGCAGCAGCTGAGGCTGCAGCCAGTCCTAGGATCGGCTGCCACTGCCACGATACGGAGATGCATGCAGACTGTAGAGGGTAAGTGCTGACTGGTGTTGTGCCGAGGCTTCTCCACAGAAAGACTCTCGCCGTCTTCCGTCTTGCCGCAGGGTGCTGCCGCAGTGTGCTGCTGCAGTGTGCTGCTGCAGGGTGCTGCCGCAGTGTGCTGCTGCAGTGTGCTGCTGCAGTGTGCTGCTCACGGCGGGCGATCAGCAGCATGCACTTCCTACAGGTAAGAAGCTTGGCAAAGCGAGGCCTCTGGAAGCTCGTGAAGATTCCACTGCTTGTCTTTTGCTGCAGCAATCCACTTCAACGCGCGGCGCGCTGGTGTGGCAGTTGTTTGCCTTGCGAAAGCTGCTGCTGCAGCACTGCCAGGGACTGGGGAGGAAGACATTCATGACAATCCACGTGCTGCAGCAGCAGCAGCACGCGTGGCTGAAGAGTGTCACCACAGCTGCTACAGCAACCAACAGCAGCACCAGCAGCTACAGGCGGTGCCGTGCGCCGCCACTGCGTGCCCACAGGTAGCACAGAGACTCGCGCTACTCCTGGAGGCCTTAGACGGCAATTCCTTCTACACAAAATTGCTAGCTGCAGTGGTGCCCAGCTAGCTAGCTACCAGCTGCAGTGCTGCGCAGTGAGCTAGCTAGCTACCAGCTGCAGTGCTGCGCAGTGAGCTAGCTAGCTACCAGCTGCAGTGCTGCGCAGTGAGCTAGCTAGCTACCAGCTGCAGTGCTGCCTAGTGAGCTAGCTACCAGCTGCAGTGCTGCGCAGTGAGCTAGCTACCAGCTGCAGTGCTGCGTAGCTAGCTAGCTACCATCTGCAGTGCTGCGCAGTGAGCTAGCTACCAGCTGCAGTGCTGCGCAGTGAGCTAGCTAGCTACCAGCTGCAGTGCTGCGCAGTGAGCTAGCTACCAGCTGCAGTGCTGCGTAGTGAGCTAGCTACCAGCTGCAGTGCTGCGCAGTGAGCTAGCTACCAGCTGCAGTGCTGCGCAGTGAGCTAGCTAGCTACCAGCTGCAGTGCTGCGCAGTGAGCTAGCTACCAGCTGCAGTGGTGCGCAGTGAGCTAGCTACCAGCTGCAGTGCTGCCTAGCTAGCTAGCTACCATCTGCAGTGCGTAGTGATCCGCAAGAGCTATGTAACGCGCAGCCAGTTGCTGCAGCACACGCATTCGTTCTTCTAACGCTTTGCCGCAAGACGAAGCTAGGCGCAGGGGCTCCCTGCTGCTGCGGTGCGAATTTGCAGCCAGCGTATATACAGTGTGCATTCGCAGGTCGTTGCTGCATGCATCTGTCTGCATGCAGCGTAAAGGGCTTGCCCGCAGAAGCGGTCGGTAGCTGTGCAGCGGAATTGTGGCAGCTTAGAGGAATACAGCACTTGCCTGCGCAGCGGCCGGCGGCTGTAGGAAACTCCTACGTGCAGTTGCTTAGTGGGGTGTTGTTTGGCAAGGCTGCAAGGGAGTTTAGGGGTGTTCCTACTCGAGTTGCCCACACGAGGCAGTGCAAATCGGTTTGTTAGAAAGCAATTGACAAGGCCCCTGACCTCCGCTGCTGCATACGCGGGAAGGCGGCGTGGCAGGAGCGCAATCTCGCTTGCTTGCCCTCTCGCTCTCTGTCTGTCTCTCCTTCTCTGCCATTGTCGGTTGACGGGCTGGAAGCTCCTAGGCAGCAGAGGGGCTGTATGTATACCTTGCCGCTTTTTACCGACCAGGGAAGCCACCTCCCTTTGGGTGATTCTACCGGCGAGCTAGCTAGCTAGCTGGCTCAAGGGCCTTCTGGAACCGATCGCCTCTTAAGTCCACCCCAACAGCAGTTCAGTGCAATCCTAGCAGCAACTGTGCTGCCCTCGCCACGGCTATGTGGCGACTGCCGCAACACCGCATGCTGCTAGTTCACCTCGGGGCGATGTTTGTAGCAATTATATGTCAGGAAATTGCTGCGATAGCGAAGCTTCTGCGTCGTGTGACGTAAGACTCCTCCTGTTGCCTGCGCAGCAGCACAGGGGTTCACGAGCAGCCGATTCCAGAGGGGCGCAGAGCAGGAAACGCATGCAGCACCATGATTTTACGCTATCCTCTCTACTTTCGTGCTTGCAGATTTTTGCGTGCTCGCACAAGCACACAAAAAAAGCGCACAATTACACACAAAAAACAACATATACGCAAAAAAACATACATACACACACACATACATACCTGTAGAGCAGCATCCAGTTCTGCAACCGCTGTCGGCTTCGCACCAAAAGCGATGGCGACAACTCGACCAAAGTAAGCGGGAGATTCACGCGCCTTCTTGATTCTGTGTCGCAGGAATATCAGCAGTGGTAGCGGCAGCAGTATGCATCTGCAGCCGCCGACTTCGTCCCATGCTGCTGCAGAGAGGCGCGGCTGCTGAATACATCTCGTCAGCCCTGAAGGCTGTGTTGTGCGCACCAGCCAACTTTGCAGCTGCATCAGTGGAGGAATCATGAGCAGTCCGAACGGCAGCAAGCGTGTAATAAGAATTGCACCTGGCATTACCTGAAGGCAGTCTCTCTGAATCCAAGATCCCTTACTTCCAAAAGGCTGCCGTGATGCTTCGCAATGATCTGCTGTTGCTGCTGCAGCAGCTGCTGTAACTCTGCCCTCCCCACCCGACGCGAGAGCAGTATGTGCAGCTCGTAAAACACCATGGTCGATGCTCAGGCTGATGCTGCTCTTGCTCCAGAATCTGCAGTCCGAGAACGTATTGCTGCTTTCCGTTTGTGGTAGCAGCTTCAAGAAGAGCAACTTGGTGCTGGTGAGAGACTCAGGCACACTGGGAACGCTTTGCGGAGGGCAGTCGCTGCTTACGTTGCTGCTGCTGCTGTTGCTGCTGCAGCAACAGCAGCCGCCTTAAAGCAGCCCCTGTATCATTCTGGAAAAGTAAACGTTTTGGAAGGCACTGGGGATGGTGACAATCTGAAGGAAAGGGAGGGCCCCTCTGGCGAGGGTTCCCCCTACACCCGAGGGGGCCCCCTCGGGGGCCCCCCTTGGGGGCCCCCTCATGGGTTCTCCCGAATTCACGCACACACTCATAGTTCTTTCGTACTCAGAAATGCATCCACTGTATCAAAAGCAAAAAGGATGCAAAGAGATAGAAATGGGGGGTCGGAGGATGCACAGTGTGCAGGTTTTGCACCTGGAATGCACGAGGGCAGCAGTTGAGCTGCGCCTCTGCGATGAGGGCCTTAATCTGCTACAGTGAATGCTTGTTTCTTTGAAAGACAAATGGGGCTTGGTACACTCTTGCGACGTTTGCAATGCTCCCAGGCTCAATGTGGTCGCTATTCGCTTTGAAGGTAGTTGGCCGCAGTTTTCCTCGAAGAATGCGATTTTCTTCGTGCGGGGGCTTAACCGAAAAATTATTTTATGCGGCAAAGAGTACCTTAGGTTAGAGGCTAGATGGCCCCAAGAATGCCGCTTTTGTTACATCATGCATGCAGTCCTCCTGCCTCACATAGTGGACAGGCTGTGGCGCTCCTCCCGTCTTCACTCAGGGACTCTCCATTAGCCCCAAGCTCGATACAAAGCTCGATATAAGATTCCACAGCATTCATCTCTCTTCAAAGGAGGCCTCTCCCTCCACTTTCTGGTAGCATTCCCATGCAGCGTTCCCCAATGAGGCGAGAGGGAGAGCAAGCTGATGCTCGGGCTGCCACGCAGCTGGACATGCAGCGTTCACTTTTGTAGTATTTAGCCATACCTACTCTCTAACAAGTGTCATATAAGAGCAGTGCACAACCACTAGTCAGTTACTTAAAAATTCCCAACTTAAGCGTGTAGCCAAGATGCTATAATGTATGGTTGGGTCAACTACATAGGGCATTACGCGCGGCCTCCTGCCCAGACTCCAAGGTACCAATGCAAAACTGGGGGGCTTTGTTAAATGGATGCTGAGCCACACTCTGAGGTAGCGCTTGCTCTGAGATCTCTAAAGGGAGGTGCTTGTTCATAGACTCACAAAAATATTCGCAAGAGAGAGTGCGTGCTTTCCAGCTGCACCCCTCAGACCTCCGATATGAGAGAAAGGGGCCGCTATGGTGCGCCTGGCTGCCCTCTACAAGAACACTATCCTTCACAGCGAAGCGCACCAAGCACCTTCTAGCGCACATGCACCCAACTCTGCGTTTCGTTGCGTTCAGCTAACCCTACTCTGAGAGAAACAAGATGTACGGACAGACCAAGCAACTAAGCAATTCTATGCCAAAAGCTTATTAAATTTAACAGGTGTGGTGGAAAGTAATCGAGTGTAGCTCAGCGGGCTACCCTCCGAGGCCTCTTGGGGTGGCCCACGGGCCCGTGCCTGAGTTGTCGCCTTCTGCCACGTCTCGCGCATGTATTGTTTCTTCTGAGCTCGAATTTTCAGCAAACCCAGAGGCTTATTAGCCACAAATCTATCAGGTAACTTCGGGTGCCCTACAACTAGCCAGCAACCCTTTACCGCTGGCGATGCGATCAGCTACCTGTAAAAGGCCATCCTAACAGGGCAGCAATCTGGTTGTGAGGGCCTGGCTTTTGTAAAAAAGTGCTTCTTTGCAACAGGGCAGCACCAGGAATACCCCAAGCGCTCGGAGCCTGGGTGCTTCGCTTGAGTTGCCAGGAAGCAAGGCTGCTGGCAAGCTAGAGGGTTACCCAGCTTTGGCGGTAGGGGATGCATCCCCGACTCTGCTAGCCAGGGGTAAGGGATCCGTCGAGATGACCAAACTTGGCATTTGCCCTTGCTAGCTTGAGGGCCTTTAGCGCCCCAGAGGGTCCCTCCTAACGGCACTGACTGTGCCTGAAGCTCAGCGCGGAAAGAGCACGCCTTTATTTTTACGGAGTAAGCAAAAAACCCCAAAATGCTTTCGTGAGGTGTTTCTGTTAAAGCAATGCGCTGATCCGCTGATGCATTTTTCGTGACAAAGGGCGCCTGCACGAAAACCACGGAGATGTGTTTCTTGGAATTGCGCGGAGGATCGAAAGCAAGTGTTCAGAGCTCGCCACCAAAGGCCAAATACCTGAGACCGTTAAAGCGTGTAGATACAAATATCTGCACGCCGTGCCCCCAGGAATGCGCTGATGAGGGAAGCGCCTCGCTTTGCGCATGTTCACCTGTGCAGAGGGACCTCTGCGTGGCCTGCATCTCTGCGCGCTCTTCGCGTGCATCCTGGACTCATTTTTGTGAGCATGTGTGCCCTTGGTAGTAGTCCCTTTCATGGTTTAAATCCTCTGCGGGCTATAGAGGAAGTGCTCTTCGTAAGGGCGCACATAGAGAGCCTAGCTCAAATTACTGTAGGGGGACCGCAGCAGCGCAGTACTACCCACGTAGTCGTGAAGCTGGCATGGCAGCTTGGTGGCGGGTACAGTGCACGACCAGTTTAGAAAATTGTCTTAGAGAAGTCGGCAGGAGATGCATTCTGCAAGGCTGTGGGCTGTGGGGGTGAAGCGGCCTCTGTCTCGGGACCAGTAAGGGCCCACCCCCATAAGAACGGCATTGTTTTGAAAAGCACTTGACGCGGGGAGACCATTGTGAATGTGAAAGACAGACTGACAAGGGGGGAGAGGATCCAGAAGATAGAATCAAACAGAATTAAGAATCATCCTCCTGCTAGACGTTTCTTGTGCCTCCCGAATTCCTCCACAACCAGCGGGGGTACAAAAAGAAAACACACTCTCTGCATACATTTCGGAGACCTCTCTCCAGCTAAGTTTCGTTTTGCTTTGACTGTGTTTTGTTGAGAGGACGCAAGAGCAGTGCACAACTGACGCTGCGGCCTCTTGAGGTAGCCTTTGCATTCCTTTCCTCTCCCGATGCTATCTGATGCGCTGTGGCAGCAGCAGTGAAAAGGCGGCTAGTAAGGTACTATGAACTGTGCTGGGACGCGGTGCCCATGCGAGAGCAACATTGGTCTCGAAAGCGCGAACGAAGCAGAAATCGATGCGTGTAAAAATCACAGTGAACTCGAAAAAAGTTTACTATAGGGTGTGCATTGTGGTGGGGTGAATACGCCGGACGTCAGACGGGGGTGTTGCCCCTGTTTCTGCGAAATTCCAGTAAACGGCGCCCTAACGTTCAGACGGATGTGGCCGCTTCGCCTTCTTGCGCAGCGACGGGGGTCACTTCTTGAGGCTCGAAAAGCGAAGCATCAAAGTATTTGTTGCCCTTGGCGGCTTCACTTCGAACCACCTCAGCGCCCTTTTGAAAGGCCTCCTCAACCCAAGTCCTGCATTTCACCGGACGCCCGGCAAAAGGGAAGAGAGAGAGACAGGGGCCAGTACAGACACACAAACACACAAACACACACACACAGAGACACACAGCGACACGAATTAAAGGAGCGCGCAGTAGATTAGAGGGGACTGTTGGTGCCGGCGACGCTGTTTTGAATCACAAATGAGAAATGGTGAGAGGCATCTAGCACGTGACAAGGCCTGGCAGGAAGCGCTGGCCACCCACCATACTTGTATCCCGTATCGCCCTGCTCCGCCAGTAGGCTCAAGCACTGTATGAGGAAAGGGGGTTTTGGGTTGTTATTTAACGGACCTGAAGTCTTCAACCTTGAGGGTCCTATATGAATGGTCATCGTCAACGACCTCAAGCCTGCATCTTCCGAATTCTGCGGTTTCGACCAAACGGATAGCGTCATCAAGAGGGACCTGAGTGTCTTTACTGCCGCTGATCAGAATGCAGTAGGGGTACTCGGCGATAGAAACGAGCGGTCGCAAATGCATGTAGCGGTAATAGACGTCCTGCGCCGGACTTAACAACACCTACGAGCGCCAGAAGGAGCGACACGCAAAAGGCCAAGCACAACACCAGATAAATGCTTGAGGAGAGGGCTTAGCTCAGGGGAGGAAGCAGGGGCAGAGGCACCGCTGGAACGGAGACCGTACAAGGCATCGAAAAATACGCGACACAGGTTAAAAGGAAGGATGAAGGACGGAATGAGGGGGCGCGTGCTGGCAATAGACGCAAGGCGTCGGTTGAACGGTGAAACACGCAAAGGTCTACGGTGCACAAGAAAGCTACAATTTTGCAACCAGAGGCTGGAAAGAAAAGGCTGCTAAACTGCAGAACTCTTCACGTTAATTATTTTCTCTGTCTCTGTCTGTCTCTGTCTCTCTCTCTCCTTGCCTCCCTTGCTCTCTCTCTCTCTTTCTCTCGCACTGTCTCTGTTTGCCGCTCTCTCTCTCTGTCCCTCTGTCTTTGATTCTCATTCCTCCGTTCTCCTCTCTCTGTCTCTACGTGTATGTGCGCCATCAGGGGTGTGCATATTTCTAGATGCACGGATACTGCTCTATCCCCTCCCTCCTTCCCACGCAGTGCTGCATCCTCTTCTGCCAAAGCGCCTCACTGACCAGGGGAACTTTGGGAATATCCATTTGAAGAGCCACTACGGCTCCGTAGGCTGGCGCCACGATTACGTTTGGCTTGAAGGAGTTGAAAGCGCTTTCTGCTTGCAGGACTGCATGCCTCATCACGAGCTGTGTCACGCCTCTCCACGCAAGAAAGAAGGCGAGGAGGCATATCAGAATGAACGCACTGAGTGCCATTATGCCCGCCAGGAAGTTCGCCATGCGGAATGTGACGATCACGACGGCACACATGAGCAAGGCTACAAGGACAAACCCCAGACCGAACAAGGCAAGGGTCCTCCTGGCACCAAGGCGAGGAGCGAAAACAGCAGCTTTACCAAAGGCTTCCTGTAAGAGTCCCACCTTTGCCGCATCGTCCGAGAGCTCGAGACTGAAAGACACACAACAGCGAGAGGAACGTCTAGAAATAGGGGAGCGAAGAGAGGGATGCAGGTATAAAAAGGGGTCCCAGCGCAACAGCAGCAGCAACAACACAGGCTACTGATGACAGAGGGAGGAAGATACGTCCTAAGATCAAGGGGTGCGCCCCCCCGTCCTGCAAGAGAAGGAGCTCTTGGCAGGCAGCACGATGCAAACAGGGAGAACGGCATGAACACACGCACATGCTCACCGAACTACACGCCGTCTAAAGGACTGGCAGACGCGACCAAACAGGTGACCCATTCTAGACAATCAGACTCGTGCGGAAGGTATATACATATATATATATATATGTAGATAGATATCTATCCATAGATAATAATATGGATACATATATATCTATAGATAGATCTATAGCTATTGCTATATATATATGAGAGCTGGAAGCAAGGGGCACCGTCTGTTTTTTTTGTTCCACATATACGTATGTGGCAAATAAGAGTTTGGCAGGAACTGCAGGAGAGAAAGTGCAACTACGTCAAAAGGGGCTTGCTTCTACCTATGAAGAAAGAGGACGCGAATGCAAGGATTCGGCGGGCTTCCGCCGCTTCCTTTCTCGTCTGGATGGCTGCTTTCTCCCTGCGCTCCTGCTTCAGGAGCGTTTTCTTTGCCAGAAGGCACCGCACGGGGAGCCACCCCGACTGCCTGTACAGGTGTAGCCGGCTGCAGGCCCGCCTTAGGTGCTGCCGCAGAAGCAGGGGGAGCTTTTGCTGCTCCCGGAGGAACAGCCTTGACTGAAATACCAGAGGGCATCTTGGCCCCTTCTGAACCTTCCATTGCAACTCACAAGGTTACCCCACGCTGCTGCGGCTGCGCCTCCGGATGCTGGTGTAATCGACGGTGCCAATACAGTTGTCGTATCTGCTGCTGATGCTGCTGGTGGTGGTGGTGGTAAGGCTGCTGCTGATGGTGGTAGTGCTGCTGCTTCTGATGCTGCTCCTTTGGCCAGCACGAAAAGACTGCCCCTTTTCGAGTTGGAGGGTCGAAGTGAAACAGGGCAAGGATTATATTCGCAGGATTCCTGTCACGTACATTGATTTTGCTGGATCCGCTGCAGCAGGTACAGTTGCTGCAGTCGCTCCAGCAGAGGGGTCTGCAATGGCCGTTTGCCTCGCTGGTGTCGTGCAGGACCCAACAAAGTGATTAAGGCAACGCTTCACAAGTCCAAGACTTTAGGATGGACTCTCTTTGAGCAGATGTACGAAGAAGGAGCACGGAAGCCCTATGAGTCCGAACTTCCGTCGATGCTGTTGACCATGCAAGCGTTGCCGGTGCTGCCACTCTACGGTGGAGGAATGTTGAGCGTCCGCTGATGTTGAGCTCTAGCCTTGCAGCCCTTTCGGGAAGACTGAAAAGGTTTCATGAACCAGTATCCGAGAAATGTGGGAAGAAAGGAACTACTTCGACACTGGCAGGGACAGCGCCTCCACCCCGACAGCGGCGCCACAGCTGGCCTCGAGTTGAGAAGTCGTCCTAGCAGGTGGTTTGAGACATGTGTCTGAAGTGTTGGCTGCATGAAAAAGGCTTTGAAAGCACCAGGAAGAAGAAATCGAGGCAGAAAACATACATTAGGCAAGCAGTAGCATTTAGAGTGTCGGACGGGGGTGGCCCCTCCGATACTATGGGCGAGTCGTTGCGCAGACGATCTAGTAAATCCGAATCAATGTTGGCAGCACTTGCAGAGGGTCTCGATACAAATGAATTCCAGAATCCATTGAATTTCATTCCCCACAAACAAAGAGGTGCAATTATTTCTGCAAGAGGTGCCCAGGAAATCCCGCCAAACCAAGTTGCAGTGGTCGCCTACAGACCCCGCCGGCAGGTAGCTCAAATGGGGCGAACTGCCAGGGAGAACGTAATTCTGCCTTTCCTTTTGCTGGCCTTACTTTAACCCCAAAATTAGCAACATAACAACTCAAGTTACACCGCTAGCCGGCACTAGCTAGGGCTTCTTCCTCCTGTCTGTCGCTGCCTTAATGGCGGCTCGCTGTAGCGAGGCTACAGGGCCCCGCAGCACTACAGGAAGCACAACTCAGAAGAGCACATGACATTAAATATAAAACAGGCATCTAATTAAGGCTTGTTTATCCAAGAAATGCTCATCAGTCTCATTGGGAAGACGAGGAGGTGGCACAACCCTGCCAACTCAAAGCCAGCTATGCACAACTTACGACTTGCATCATTCCAAGCGCACTTCCTAAGGGGCGCAAGAGGGGAAGTCAAGAAATTTACAAGGGCCAACATCGAAATTCTATAGAAGGAGGGGCTAGTCGAGTAAGAGAGCAATTTAGAACCACCAAAAGGGGAGGATCGATTGCTCTGTGAAGGGGATACACGTTTCTCTCTCCTCTTCATGGGTTGGATTTCTAATGTGGCTAACAGCCCAGCACGACATAAGAACTGCAATGCGTTCTCAATGAAAGTAGCCTGGATATATGGTAAAGTGACATTGCACATTGGATGGGAGTTGGCAGTATGAGCCAAGGTTTGCGCTGTACGCTGCGGATGTGGTCTCGTAGGTTGATAGTCAAATTCAAACTCGCTACAAGCTTACAGAGAAGTAATGAGCACAAAACATTTTCTTTCGCCTGCGAGCGTTTGTCAGAGGCTTCGGTATGAGGAAGGGGGGACAGCCGCGATACGCCTAGCTGCACCCTCTCAGCACTCCATCCTAGCGTTTACAGCTAGTTGCACATATCATCTAGGGCACAAGCACACAACTTTGCATTTGATTGTGTCTCGCTAACAGTACTATGCAAAGAAACATGGGATTTAAATGGACAAATCACGCGTCTTACTACAATAATTCAGCTAGGACATTATGAGACTTGACAGTGTTTCAATGTGGCGTATCCCGCTACATCTTTATCCCTTTAAGTAAAAATTGCACATGAGTTTCGGACCTGTATGCAGGACTTCAGAAGAGTTGGCGGCCTATCGCCAATGACCAGGCAGGCAGACACGCGTAAAAAGCGCAGATGAGAAGAGCAATGTGTGCATCAACCGCTAAAGCAAAATTGGTGGGAGGAGAGGCACACATACTAGTCGACAAAATGAGCGACACGCCATATCTACGCTTCTTTATACGCACGAGGTTGCGTAAGCGTTCCAATAGGCAATGCAAGATAGAGCTTCCAAACTTGCCATTTGTATTTCTGTCGGTAGTTGCACTATCATGAGCTCCGCCGTCCAGAAGGGAGACGCATAAGGTGGCCGTCGAGGCTAACAAGGACAAGAAGACCATCTGGGTAATACTTAAGGGGTTTACGAGGAACTAAATTAACATGACAGTAGCTGCGTGGTGGATTGCGTCCATTGAAGTGCCGCACTGAGTACGCCCACTTTTGCGCGCGCGAAAGCAGGAGGCAAGTAAATTATACACTGCCAATCAAAATATACACTACTTCAGCAGTACTTCAGCGTTGTAAAGACCAATATATGCACGTAATTATTCCAAACGCGTGCAGCATAGTCGATTTCAAAGCCGCAAAAGAGGCATAAGGAAAAACATAGAGACAAGCTAAAGGAGAGCGCCTGCGCACAAAGATGAGTGTAGTTTTGAGCAATAATCATGAAGCTAACGAAGTTACTTTAGGCAGAATATGCGTTGGCGAAAGGCAACTCCAACGAAACGGGAGGAATGTCGTCCATAGCAACGAGCATTGCTAACCAAGCAGTCCCTCGAGTCCTCGCGCAGGCAACGCAGACCACGACCACCCCTTCGTCATCCTTTAACGTGGGCACTTCTCACCTGAAAACTAAGAAACTATAAGCTAGTATCCCATCGCTGTTTCGCAGTCCTATAATCCGTCTTTGTCGATCCCCCGCCTCCACACGGATCACTTGCCTTCGCGGCAAAGTTCGCAAAGAGCTCGGGGAGTATTGAAGTTTCTTTAGGAATTCCAATATTGATGTACCGTAATAAATCAAGTTATTGGGACGTCATTTATCTCCTTTCGTTGTAATTGCCTTTATCACACGCGTATTCTGCCTGAAATAGCTTCGTTACCTTTATGAGTGTTGCTCGGAACTACACGCAGATTTATTCGCAGGCGCTCTCTGTTAGATTGTCCCGGTAGAGTTATCAAAAGTATTGATCCATGGGAAAATGTCCAATGGTCGTAGCCAACCGGCCTCACACATCTTCATCTGTTCGCCTTCTAGTGCACCTCGTACAGCCTGGTGATTCTTATGAAGGGTGTTCAATGTGAGGTCTACTGAAAGAGGCGTCCAAGCCAACGAACAACGATGAGATAAGCACTGTCCTAGACTTTCCGCAAGGTGCACCTAAGAATTAGTTTGGACAGTGACTTGGCACCTATAAAAATAGTGCCGGCACTTTTGCGCACCTTATTAGACGGCACCGAGTTCGAATTCCCTCTCACGGCCCAGCTGGTCGTCCTCGGTGAAACAATGCTGAAATCCAGCCAATAATTTGCTGATCGTAAAAATTCTTAGCTTGTTTGATGATGAAGCGCACCTCTGAATGCTTCTGCAACTTCGGTTACTAGGAAGAAATGATACCCACAGTATGACAGTGCAAGTACCGAAGAGTTGAAAGGCAGCCGATAAGCGTCCCTGCTGGCGCATCAGCTCCCTTTATCAAGGTCTTGCACTGCGTTTACTTAAGTAGGGTATTTATGGGAGTAGCGATCCGCACACATTCATGAATGAAATTTCAGGAGCAAGCTGCAATTTTGTGGACGCTCGCAGTGTGCTTGTCGGTGCGTAAAGGTAGGGGCGACCCCTTCGTTGCTTTATTTTTTCCAGTTGACTCAATCCCTGCAGTTGAAGCACAGAATCTGCTCAATACAATCGTCCGAATAATATGTGGACACTTGCGCACCTTTAAATACCACTGCTTGTCTTGCAAAATCTGAAGTGTACGCTCTAGGTACTGTAAATGCACTTGAACGATTTGGCTGGAAGCCAAGGCGTTGTGTATGTAGCCACCCATGCGACCTTCGTTAATGTGCTCAACAAATCCGAAGTCTTTTGCCACTACAGTTTAGCCTTAGCCCTTAGCATTATGAAGTCCTTCCGCGAATAGCTATACTCGATTTTGCGAATGCAAGCGTGAGTGGCTTAGTGCCTGCTAACAGGAAAGGCGGGGATTTATGAAAAGGCGCGCGTAAAGACAAGTGTCCAGTAGACTGTCGGTACGCCTGTTTCCTTTGTAATTCGCCATTACGTGGCCTCTGGAAGCCTTGCTTTACAGTAATCCACTTTGAGGGTTTCCAGTTGACGCTAAGGCGCTGCCCTCTGCCCTGATTTGGTACTGCCACCCGGTCATGCCACGAGCGGTGGTCAATTCCTGCTTTCTGTCGTTTTAAAGCAATTTTAAGCAAGCCATTGGCATGCTAGTCAGTCTTCTTTACATTCGTATGGTGTGCAAGCTTTGGATACAATGCAATAGAGCTTGGCGGCTGAGCTAGGGGTTAGCTTCATGCGGTGCGGTTGACGACTCGCAAGTGGGAAACTTGCTGGCGGCTTGTAGTTGTTTAGCACAGCTGCAAGCTTCCTCTTGATCTTTGTTCATTTTGGCTGCTTTTTGGTGAATCTTTAACCGTAATTCTCAATAAAGAACCGGGTGAAGGGCCACTGGAGCGGAGCGCATGCATATAACCTACTCTGCTATTGTGCCGCCAGCACTCCGACCCTCCCCTAACTTGTTCAGGGACTAACTCCACCCCACTTATGATAGCCGAAATTATCGTTGTTGGGTGAAGCAGGAAATAATCTTGTGTAGCGCCTTCCGGCACACTAACCACAACGTGCAGCTTTGGCCGCAACCGCCTTCCACAAGTTCACCTATGATATGGATAAGATGGCATGGCTTCCTGGTGCTTGATTCCAGCACAACAGTCAGGGAGCATGCTACCAAGAGACGGTTCCGATTAAACTTAGGTTTAAACTGCCGTATTCTTGCCAGTCCTTGCATTCTGCCGCCCGTGAGCAGGCCTATTTTTTTAGGACTGTGCTAACGTGTGAACAGGCAGATTGCACTTTTGCACAATCTCTTCATATTACAGATCCACTTCACATCCAGTTTTTAATGTAGCGCTACCAATTATTGAGCATTAAGACAAGCTTGTCTCATCGGGGAACTGACCCGTGGTGAGGCCCTTGCTGTGGCTCTGTATTCTGCGTCCCCCTTCACTGCCCCAGCCTGTGTGGGAAGCATTCCGCTTCCCTGATAAGCCTTCTTTGCTTGCAATGCACCTTGATATCCGTGGTTCTTGTCTTTTGCTAAAATTCTTTGATTTTTCTCATGCCTTAGCAACTCCGCATTATATGACTAAATGTCCCACAATAAAGCAGGTGCGTTTTGGGGGCTGTCTATAAAGGCAAAGAAATTGGGTTTTCTCTGACTTTCCTTTTTTATCCGCTTAGACTGTGGCTATGGTCGTGTGGACACACCCCTGACATTCATAGATTCTATATTCTCATTTGCATCTTCCTCTTCAGCCAAACACGCAGGAGTTGCGCTTGTTTGCTTCTGAAGCCTTAGGCATTCCATCATTCAGGCACGCTTTCTTGTGCCGGCTGTTGACTTTCTGAGTCGCTGCCTTTTCCGCGGCCACCTGGAGTGACACGTCTTGTAAACCCGAGAAAGAGCAATGATAAATCAGCTGTTCTTTTATGTTGTGGCAATTGCAAGTCAAGGTTTGATACTTTTTATATATACCTATCTATCGATACACTCTCCTGCTAAGTGCGCCCTCAACTTTCCCAAAGCTTGCCGTTCAGATAACCAGTGTATAAAAGCTATGAGGCAAGGCTTGTGTGAGAGCTCGCCCAAAGGCACAGTAATCATTCTGCCCCTCTCTCTTGGACATGCCACAAGCAGCACTTGTTCTCTTCACTCGGAGGGTACGAAAACGAGTACTCTTCCAACTGGCTTATGAAATCTTTGAGGATTTGTCCCTCCTTGCGGTTGTCTCCCCTGTTCGTTGGCATCACCTCATCAAAGTATGTGTTAATACTTTGTCGACTGAAAATATGCCAATTTACCAGGTAGGCAGAAAGTGCGTTCATAGCAGCTTGCAGGCCGGCCTCTGCCGCCTCAAAAGGCGATGTAGCACCACCTACTTCCATCCCCAGGGGGTCCGCTTTTAACCTGTTTCCAACGGAAACCATATTATTGAATTGCCAAATAGCTTGAGCAAAGACGGACACCTGTTATAGGGAAACAGGACAGTCCACTGCTTCCACAGCGCGGATTATTGGGGAACGGCTGCATCGAACCATTCAGGTGCCACCAACTCTGACGCTTCATGGAAGGTCTCCGTAGGGCTGCATTTTAGTCCAGACTCAATCAAACCTAAGCAAGAGTTCTTGGACGATTTTCAAAAGACCTCTTGCATTTTCGCTCGAGTCACTTAGTTTTCTGACATTAGGGAAGAGGCGCCGCTAGGTTGTGCAACACTGTCTAACCAGGCTGAGCCTCTCCAGCGAGCTCGATGGTACATTTTGCAAAAAGCACCCAGCTTTCCGTCGTGATGCGTTGACCTAAGGCTACACACTCTGAATAAATAAGATGTACGCGTATCCCGAGTAAGTACTCGGTTCTGCACAACGTTTTACATAGAGTAACAAGTACAGTTTAAAGTGCCAACGTGTGGCTCAGCCCCCTACACTACTTCCGTATGCATGAGTCTCAGAGGTTCCTCAGTTCAAGGGAAAGGAAATCTTGTCTCTGTAGGAGAGTTCACTAGACATACGAACCCTAAATTGCATTTGGCAGCAAACACACTGAACGCATGAGGCGACTCGCCCTCGAATGTTTGACTCGTGGCGCGAGGAGAGCCTTTGGGTGTAGAAGGCAATAAGCTCTTTTAAAATATACGCTTTGTTTTGCATGTCTGTGTTTTGACGCCATTGCGAGGTGTATGCATTCCAACTTGGCTGGACGTCGGGCGCAAGGCGTGGGGGCCCCCATAAGGGGCCCCCTTAGAGAACACAGGCCCTCCATCCATGAATTGCGCACCTTTGACATGAAACACCAAAACTGCATTATGAAACTCAAACTGTAGGGGCTTGCTGCCACCCGAAGGGATCTGTTTTCTTGACCTTTGCGGATTCGCAGGAGGCCTCTATAGCTCAAAGCTTGATGTATACGTGCCCGACGCAGGGCGAAACACAAGATTCCCAGCTTAGCGAAGCAGCGGTCCTACCAAGCTTCTTTTGAAATGGCCTCTTGTGGCGCATAAAACACAATAAGAGCAGCAACAGCAACCACAGTAACACCGACCACAGCCACACCGTCGGCTGGAGGACAAGCAGCGGCAACCACGGCTTGCTGCCGCTGCGTGGGCTCGCTGCTGCATGTGCACGCTTTAATTAGAGCCAAGCCAGCGGCACAAACTACGCGGAGATGGATCCCTACGAATGGAGCGGCGATGATTTCGGAGAGGGTGCTGAAGACGACCCTAAGATCGGTGGCACTGTACCCCTCGTGCTCCACTTGGGGAGTCGCTTCGTGCGAGTCGGCTTTGCAGGCCTTCCCGTGCCGCACATGGTAGTTCAAGCACCCTTTCTGCACGCGGATGGACCCGCGAAACTCCCTGTTTTACCTGCGGCGGGGGCAGTTCAATGCGCACAAGCCGACACCGGCGCTGCAACACCAGACAAAGTCGCGCCAACAGCTCCAGCGGAGGCTGAAGGCGCCTTGTCTCCCCCGCAGCAACAAGACGCAACAACAAGCAGTGGCGGAGCACGCAGTCCTACCGGCAGGAGCACGGGTGGCAGCAGCAGCAGCAATACGAGTAGCAGCAGCAGTATGAGTAGCAGTACCACACCCGCCACCAACATGGTCAGCGTCACGAACTTCCCTCAAGAGTCCTTTATGGAGTATCAGCTCGCAATTTGGCTAAGCGACATCTTAAAAGGCTGTGCTGCCAGATCGCCTTACGAGAAACCCGTGCTGCTCCTGGAGGGAGTCCTCACTCCCCCCTATCTCAAGCACAAAGTCACGGAGCTTCTTCTTAACTACTTCCAGGTAACCATATACATACATATATCTATTTGGAATACGGCCATGAAGCTTTCGCCTCCTCGTGGAAACATCCTCGTGCAAGAAATGAATTCCCGCGAGTCCAACAGAGACCCTCTAGAGATGTCGGGCTGGGAGGCAGGAACCATTCAATTCTCACGCACACTATTCCACTTAATTGCCTCCTTGTGTCACAGGTGCCTGGCGTATCCTTTCTCTCCGACTTGGTTGCGCCTCTATACACCTGCGGAGTTGACACAGGCCTTGTCGTGGATATCGGGTACGCTGAGGAGGCCATAGATGCCCCCTTCTCTCTCCCAGCTAACAGTCTGCATTTCCGCGTTTCAGAGGCAAGCCTCTGCACCCCGTGGTGCATGCATGCATGCATGCATGCATGTGTCTGCGCGCTGCATTCCCCCGTGCCCTCCTGTCTGGGTTTCTTGCGTCTCAGATTCACAAGCTGCCGTGTGCAGCCCACGTGTTTTGGCACGCCTCTGCCTTGCGCTCTTCGAGTGTCGAGCGGCGGTGCCGCGGCTGTTCTGCAGCAGCTGCAGCATGCCCTCACGGAAGCAGCAGCCTCAACGCCAGCAGAAAAACGAGCGGTGAGGCTGCCGAAATACAACACTGCTCCTCCCTGCTGCCGAGCTTTTCCCCTAGCCAAGTGCTGCTGCACGAATTGCTTACCGTAGAAGCCGCCGCCACGCTGTCGCGCGCTGCCCATCGACACCCCCACTGCCTCGTGCCTCGTTCACGTCCTCTGTCGCTGCAGCTCAAGAATATGAATCTCGAGGAGCTGGAAGACATGGCAGTCAAAGTTCTCTATGTTCGATACGACCTAAGCGAATACCGACAACAGCAGCCACACCACGACCAGCGGCTAAAGTTCGAGTCATCGCTGTCTTTGCAGTACATTGCTAAAGACGGCACAGCAATTACAGTGCCTGCTGAGCTCAGGTACAGATGCTCTTTCTGTACTTCTTGGTGGTGTTCTTGTTGGTAATGGTGTTGTTGCTGCTCTTCTTGCTGCTGCTCTTCTTGCTGCTGCTCTTCTTGGTGTTGCTGTTCTTCCTGTTGTTGTTGTTCTTTCTGTTCTTGTTGCTCTTTCTGTTCTTGTTGCTCTTTCTGTTCGTGTTGCTCTTGCTGTTCGTGCTGCTGTACTTGTCGCCACTGTTCTTGCTGCTCTTCTTGCTGCTGCTCTTTTTCCTGCTGCTCTTCTTGCTGCTGCTCTTCTTGCTGCTGCTCTTCTTGCTGCTGCTCTTCTTGCTGCTGCTCTTTTTCCTGCTGCTCTTCTTGCTGCTGCTCTTGTTGGTGTTGCTGTTCTTCCTGTTCTTGTTGTTCTTTCTGTTCTTGTTGTTCTTTCTGTTCTTGTTGCTCTTTCTGTTCTTGTTGCTCTTTCTGTTCTTGTTGCTCTTGCTGTTCGTGCTGCTGTACTTGTCGCCACTGTTCCTGCTGCTCTTCTTGCTGCTGCTCTTCTTGCTGCTGTTCTTACTGCCGCTGTTGCTACAGGTTTGCCTTGTAGAGATGATATTCACATGCCGTCCGCTCTTCCCAGCGTTCCTCCTGCCGCTTGTCTGAGCGTGCTGCCTTCTCTGCAGCGGCACAGCGCATGAGCACCAGAGCCTCAGAGATCCTCTCGCCGAACGTCTGCTCGCGCTGCTGCTGCTGCTGCAAGAGCATCTGCTGGTGCCTGCAACGCTCTGTCGCTGCTTTGTGCCTTTTCCCAGGTGGAGATGTGTGGAGGTTCTTCTAGGTTCGCTCCCTCCGGAAGAAACTGCCGTGGACGTTGGACAGGGGCTTGTCGACCTCATCCTCAGGTGCAGCCTTCTTGCAAATGCTGCCAGTCCTTTTTAGTTTGTTGCTTGTGCTGAGCCGCTGCTTCTCTGCGGGCTTGCTGTTGTTGTGGGCTGCCTGAAGCAGCCTCACCAGCCGCCACGTTGGCAGTGTGCAGAGTAAGACGAGGGGCCATCCTTTCTTCCTCGCCTGTTTTGCAGTCTAGAGCATGTGTTTAATATACCAGGAAGGCTGTGGTTTTTTGCCTGCCGCTTGTGGGTGTGTTTAGATGCGAGACCGTGTCCACCTAGGCATATATATGCATATATACATGTATATATTTATAGATTATATGCAAACTCTATACATATTCCAAGTACATATGATATACATGTGCGCGCAGCTCCCTACACAGCTGCCCAGCGGAAGCTCGCCGCTTGGCTGTGCAGAATATTATCCTCTGTGGAGGTTTTTCTTCCCTGCGAGGCCTGTCAACGCGGCTGTCTGCTGATCTGCAGTCCGTCCAGCCTCTCGAGCGTGCCTCATGTCGTATTTGTTGTTGGTGTTGCTGCTGCTGTTGCTGTTGCTGCTGCTGTTGCCAGCACGGTGGGCAGGTTCGGCGTGTCAGAGTGCTGCTGCAACGACTGCGCAGAAGCAGGACGCCCCTTTTGCTGTGTTGTGTGTGTGTGTGTGTATTGTATATATATATATATGTATGTGTGTATGTGTGTATTGTATATATATATGTGTGTGTGTGTATTGTATATATATACATATATGCATGTGTGTATGTGTGTATGGCCCGTGCTTCCTGCTGCTGCTGCTGCAGTGCCGCCTTGCAGCGGGAGAAGGGTCTATCACGCCTTGCGGAAACTGCCTCTTTAGGTGTCCCTCCAGTGCCTCCAGCCATTCGTGCCTGGTGTGGAGCCTCGATGCATGCGACGCTTCATGGGCTGCAGGTGTGTTCTGGCCTTTTGGTGCAAAATGCAAACAGCTGTGCTTCTTTGCAGAGCTGTATGGAGGGGCTTTCGCGGTGGTTTCCTTCGTCAGACAGACTGTGTTCTCTATTTCAGACTGAAGCTCCCTGCAACTGCCCTTGTCTCAGGTGTACGGACAGGCGGAGTGGGTAGGGCGCGTGCCTCTGCCGGATTGGGCCTCAACCGAAACAACCACTCCTCAGTACGAGGAAACAGCGCCCTCCGCCTCGCAGCGCTCTGGCGAGACTCCCCGCAGCGAAGCCCCCTCACGCGAAGACAGGAAGGAGCAGGAGGATACAGACAAACGGAAGTTGGGGGGCAGCAGCGATCCCCGCCTCACTAGCGGCGGCCACTTAGAGAGCGCCACCTGCGCAGATGCGGCTGAAGAAGTCTCGCAGCAACAGCAGGACCAGGTGCAGCAGCAAGTGCTCATTCCCAAGTTGCAGCTTCGCCCTAGTCTGCATGCGCCCAGATTACCCAAGCCTCCCCCCCCTAGACCTGGAGGTGGCAGCGTTAGCAGTGTTAGCAAGGACACAAGTAGTCCAGCGAGCGATCCTAAAGCCTAAAATTATGCAGCTGCCGCAGTTTATGGGGTGGGTGCTGGAGTGCAGCTGGTGCTGCTCTGCGGGGGAGTGGAGGCTGCGTTGAGAGAGCGGCAGCCATGTTGTTGGCTGCTGGCAGCGCGCCCCCTTGGTGCAGTTGTTTTGCCATTTTGATGTGGCCATGCTTTGCAATTAGTACGGCAAGCGAAGAAGAGGGGAAGAGCGAGAGAGTGGAGGTGCAGGGGCAAGGCGGCAGGCAGCGTGCGACGCGCGGAAAGGAGGGGCAGGGCTTGGGAGCTATAATGTACTTCTAGTTAGCTGGCTAAGAAGTGTCGACGTAGCCATAATTGGAGAGAAGTCGCTCACCGGGAAGATAGGAGTAGGCCTCGCAACATAGGCAGCCAAATACACACGAGGAGTCCTGCGTGATGCAGGGAAGAATTTCCTTAGGCGACAAACCATGGGGAAAGCCATTTACGGTAGCAGTAAGAGAATCCAGGGAAGAGCATGACATAAGACCTCATAGACCTGAAGGAAGCCTATGGAAGAGGCAGCGCTGCGTACTGTCAGGCGCAACGGGCTCGTGAGTACACGGGTGGATGAAGGATTTAATTACTCTCAGTTTCACCGCAGCAAGCTCCCCCGAGCAGCTGGCTGCCTAGTCTCGGGCTGCCGCAGGCGGCTCACATGACTGCGACAAGGCAGTCGCTATGCGGAATAAGGGGTGCAGAACACAGGGATTCAACCCCCTTTGCTCGCACCCCATACATCAGCCAAATCTAAAAGCCTGCATCAGATCCGTCTTTTGCGCCACAATCCTTGTTGTAAGCGGCAAAGAACGGGGAAGCCGCAGCCCCCCCACAATGTGGCTATGCGCGGCAGGGAGCGCAGCCCCTGCTGCAGTCATGAAGACGGTTGTTGCTTCGACTGGCGTTGTTGCTGCTGCGGGTTTCTTGAGAGGTCAACTGTTCAAGAGTGTCTGTTGCGTCGCCGCTGAGACTTCACCGTAGCCTAATGGCCGCAAGTGGCAGTTCGCGCTTCCTGCAGCAAAATAGAAGAAGCCACCCATCAGGACAAACAGCAGACTGGGGGGACGGGAAAGGGGGAGCTGGACAGACGGCATCTGCATGGGGGAAAGGAGGCGTGTGCATACACTCCAAATGGTGACGCACCGCGAGTGACGCCTAAGAGACTCGACACGTAGCCCTCTGCGCAGCGTAGCGGCAACTGCAGCGAACAGCGCAAGGAAGGAAAGGCAGCTCCCGGCTGTGGCAGTAATTGTAGATGTATCTGCAGAGCAGCATCGTTCTTTGCAACAACGCCTTCACCGATTCCACGGTGGACACAGCAACGGAGGCACAAAAAGCAGCTGCCGACTCCGCAAGGGTAGAGAGACAGGGCAAGCGCTACAGCAAAGAGTGCCACAGCAGCATGCAAAGCAAAAACTGCAAGAGCACCACACACACAACCCGTACTATTGCGTCTAGCTGCATGATGCGTTCTGCGTCTTGTGTAAACTCAGCAGACTCCTCATCGGAGGCTCCAGCGTCAGCTGCGCTATGGGCCGCAGTAATGGAGATGACGTGTGCCTCTCTGTGCTGCGTGAGATCTGTTGCAGCGGCGCCAACACATGCAGCAGGCAACAGCACCTCCACGTGCATGATGGGCTCCGCCAGAGACACGAAGTCTTCTGCTGCTGCAGCGGGGTTTGCTGCTTCTCCTGAGGCAGAGTGACTCATAGCGCGTCCGTGGCGCAGCAAGGAACGCAGCAGCTGCGCAGTAGCAGCGGCTGCGTTGACAGAAACTGCGGTGTCGCCCTCGACCTCTAGAGACATGAGGTGTACAGACACCCAGTCGAGAGGCGAAGCGCGAAGAGGACCAGTTGCAAGGGCCGCTGCTGCCGCCGTCTCTATCGCCTGCATGACGGCGGCACCAGTGCTGCAGCTGCTGTCCAGCTGCTGCAGCTGCTCCTGCGCCTTCGGCTCTATAACCATAAAAGTCGAGGACTGGCTAGAGAGGCCTCCCAGAGGGCGATCTGCCGACTCCCCTGGAGCCGTTAGAGGCCCCCCAGAGCAAAGTGTGCGCAACGTGCACTCAGGGAAACCCCTTTCTGCTGCAGCCGTGGCAGCAGGTGCCGCTGCTGCAGCAACTGCAGCCGCAACAGCAGCAGGGGAAGGGTCTGCCTCGCCCTTTAGCATCGATCCCAGACGAAGTTCTGGGGCAACTAAAGGCAGCGGCCGCAGCTCTACGCTAATGGTTACACTGCTGCTGCTGCTGCTACGCCCAACCCCCCTCCTGTTTGTGCTGCTGCTGTTGCTGCTGCTACTACCGCTTCGGGGGGGCCAAGTAAGAGTGCCACTTAGAGGCTGCAACAGGCGCTCCTTGTATGCGATTTCAACTGGCGCTAAATGCGTCTTGAGGCCTGGAAAACCAAGAACACGTGACACTGAGGATCAGCACATCAAGAGCCGCCATGAGCAGTCGCTCTACCGGCTGCCGATGCCCTCACATTGCACCAGCGCCCATACACACATGGCAGAGAGCACAGCACGACCATGCGCGAAAAATGCAGAATCGGTGGTGCCTCCTTCTCCGCAGAAGGCAGCAGCAGAAGAAGCAGCCGCTAACGCAACGTCGGAATCATCAACAGCACACACCGAACTCAGTATGGAGTCTGTCTCGGACGAGCTCGAGCTGCAACTGGCCACGCCCCCACAAAACGAAGGCCTCGCCTTCACCCCTTGTGAAACGAAGAGACGGATCCTGCAACTGCACCAACTCTAGTGCCTGCTGCAGCTGCTGCTCCTCACTGCTGCTGCTGCAATCCAGTGAACAAAAGCAAACTGGCACCTGCTGTTGCTGCCGGTGCTGTTGCCGCTGCAAAACTGAAAGCAAAGAGGCTTCAGTAGCAAGCACTTCGGCGTCGCTGCTCCTGTTCCCAGCATGGGCAGCAGCAGAAGCTGCAGGTCCTTCCATATGATCACGCGCATGCCCCGAGTGCAGCTGAAAGACGAAAGGTTCACTTGCCGGCTGCGGCTGGTGCTGCTGCACTGCAGCAGCACCAGCAGGAACTGCATGCAGCGTATCTCCTGCCTGCGTATGCTGCAGCCCCTGCAGCACGGCCACGTCTCCTGCAGCGGCTGTCGCTGTTGGTGTGAACGCAGAAGCAGCTGGCAAAAGCAGCTGCTGAACTACCTCTACCTGCCGCTGAGACGAATTGAAAAGAACGCAAGGAGCTTCAAGCCGACCTGCAGCAGCAACAGCAGGACGAAACAAAGTGAAATAGGGCGCATGCAGGCACCTGGAGAAGCTCACGCGAAACATACTTCGGCTTCAGCGTTGAGAACGTACCTGCAAAGATTCTGCAATACGCAAGACGCCCGCCACGACCGTCCGGAAGAACCTTAAAGGCCGCAGCCGCTGCAAGTGCATGCGGCAGTAGCACATCAGCAGCAACAGCTGCTGCCACTAAGGGCCGTCGAGTTTCTGCGCTGCATTCAACAGGAGCTGAGGCTGCAGCTGCAGCGCCAATGGCTGCCGCTGTGATGCTAGAGGCGGTTGCAGCGGCAGCAATAGATGCACTACTTGGGGCAAAGAGACAGCCTTCATGAGACTGCTGTTGCAGCAGGCGCTGTTGCTGTTGTTGCTGCTGCTGCAGCGACAGCTGCTGAGGCAAGGCAGCCCCTCGCTGGCTTCGTTTATGCTGCTGTTGCTGCCGCTTGCGTTGTTGTTGGTGCTGCTGTTGTTGCTGCTGCTGCTTGGCGCGATTGAAAGCAGCAACACACGATGGGGAGCTCTCCAGGCAACGCAGCGGTGCCGGCTGCTCGAGAGGCGATGGCAGCAGAGCAGCTGCTGCATCCAGCAGCAGCTCAATACCACATGTGTCTCTCGCCGATCCAAAGAGCACTGGAACGGCTGTGAAAGCGCATCAAACACACAGCAACACCAACACTAGGTAGTGTGTGTTGTAATTAAAAACTTGCACCCTAGTGCATGGGAAGCGACTCCAACCTTGGAAAAGCTGCACACCTGAATTGGAAGCAACAATCCGCCGAAGTGCTGTCCACAACTCAGTTGTTGCGCAGTTGTTGTTGCTAGTGCTACATGGGCTAATGCCATTATTGCTGCTGCTATTGCTATATGTGGTAACGCTGTTGTTGCTGTTGCTACTGCTAATGCTGTTGCTGCTGCTGCTAGTACTGCAGATACTGCTGCTACTGCTAATGCTGTCGTTGCTACCGTTGCTGCTAGAACTGCTGTACAGAGCCTCAAAGGTCTCATCAAGGAGACTGACGTCCTCCAGGAGTGCTTGCCGCCTTTGCAGCACTTGGCGTAGCAGCGCGGGTTGCTGCCACCAAGAGAAGGTCTTAGTAGGCGCTGCACTTTGGTTTCTATCTGCCGTAAAGGCAAGGCTTGCAACTGCATCTGCCGTCACTTGAGCTGTTGCTGCAGGGAAATCCACGAGGTGCTGCAGCTCAGGAGGTGGCGACGTCTTCACAACGAGCGGCAACCTCCTTTTGCCAAGGGGATGCAAATAATAACTGCGGCAGCATAGGTCTGTAAGGTCTATAAGGTGCAGCAGAGGCTTTGCTGCAGCTGTTGCGCCTGCTGCCTCATTTGTACTAGCAGCAGGACGAACTGCTACGTTCAGCTGCAGGGGCCACACTCCCAGCCGGCGCTTTACCGATTGCAGACACGCATCCTAAACACATCCGCAGCAGTATCGACAGCAACAACAACGGTAACAGCAGCGCAAAGCGCAGCAGCAGCGGCACAGGGTGCTGCCTTCTTTGCAGGCTCAGCAGTGTCGGCAGTGGCAAGCCGTTTTGTTTTCCCCCTCGCATCAACAACGGGGGCGGAAACAGCCTAGTCCTACCATATCTGCCCCTTCACGATCCATCTTGTTTGCGAAGATCAGCCGCGGGATACGCTCCAACACAGGCTGCTGCTTCTGCTGCTGTTCTTGTTGTTGCTGCTGCTGTGGATGGTGGCGTTGCTGCAGCATCCTCCAGATGGCTGCAGTTTGCGCCTCCACGCCTCGCGTGCCGTCTAGGAGCACCACAACTCCGTCGGCAGCAACTAAAGACAACTCAACCTCCATAGAAAAATCCACGTGTCTGAAGCACACGTCAGTAGCACTTAGAGCTCAGTCCATGCACAGCCCCAGTAACTGCTGCACGTAAACAATAGTGTTGCTGTATTGACAGCTGCAACGCAGGAGCGGCGAAACGACAAGATATGAAAGCGCGAACAGCCTTAAACATGCAGGGACTGCCAACAGAAACAGCAAAGACAACAGCAAAGACAACAGCAATAGCGAAGACAACAGCAATAGCGAAGACAACAGCAAAGACAACAGTAACAGCAAAGACAACAGCAAAGACAACAGCAATAGCGAAGACAACAGCAAAGACAACAGCAAAGACAACAGCAAAGACAACAGCAAAGACAACAGCAATAGCGAAGACAACAGCAATAGCGAAGACAACAGCAAAGACAACAGCAAAGACAATAGTAACAGCAAAGGCAACTGCAAAGACAACAGCAAAGACAACAGTAAGAGCAAAGACAAGAGCAAAGACAACAGTAAGAGCAAAGACAACAGTAAGAGCAAAGACAAAAGTAAGAGCAAAGACAACAGCAAAGACAGGGGAAGCAGATGATGATTACCCTGGGGTGTCAATGAGGGAGACGACAAATTCGCGCCAGTGAAGACGCGAAGCAGCCGCTTGAATTGTGATGCCTCTCTCCCTTTCCTGTAGACCAACAAACTCGACGTCTTAAGGCAGGTTATGCAGCTAGCTTTACACGCGGAGTTTCACCCCCTGTCTGTTTCCCCTCCTGCACTGCAGACAAAAGTGATCTCGACGACCCTTCAGTAGCAGCGGAAGCAACGTGAGAGGTGAAGCTGCGATAGCAAGGCGCCTCCTCTCGAAGAGAAACCCGTTGCCTTGAAAGAAGTGGGTGGGTAATGTGCATGCAAAAGGCGTGCCTGTCTGAGAAAGTCTAGTGCAGTGGTGCCTTCGTCGACTTCGCCCTTGGTAATCAGCTGACTTCCCAGCAGCAACAAGGCCTCTCCCGTCGTTGTTTTGCCAGCATCAATATGCGCCATTAGCGCTATATTCCGAACACGGGCAGCTGCCGCTGCAGCTGATGCAGCTGCGGAGGAGGAGGTTGATGCTGCTCCTGATGAGGCTGCTTCGTCCTCAGATGCACAGCAGGGAAGCGAAGGCAGAGCGTCAGAGAAACGCTGGAAAGCAGATGCCGCAGCTGGGCGACATGTGGAAGCCCTTGCGGTTGCTGCGAGTTGCCACAGCTTCGTACCGCTAGACAATGCGCTCACGCAGCAGCAGCAACAACAACAGCCAACAAGGATGCGACTGCTGTTGGTGTTGCAATTGCTGCAATTGCTGTTGGTGTTGCTGATGCGATTGCTGTTGCGAATGCTGATGCGATTGCTGTTGTTGTTGTTGCTGATGCAATTTCTGTTGCTGTTGCTGATGCGATTGCTGCTGCAATTGCTGCGATCGCTGTTGCAAGTGCTGCAATTGCTGCAATTGGTGCTGAAAAGCAGTTGGCGAAAAATCTCGCGCTGACGATGATGACGCACAGCAGCAGCACAACTTCGAGCCAAAGCGGCAGGTGTTGCTGCTGCTGCTGCCTTGGCGGCTGACAACATTGAAGGAATGCGAAGATTTTGTCGGATGGAGGTTCTTCTTGAGTGGCAAAGGGGCAACGATTGCAGCGGTTGCCCCCTTGTTGTTGCTGCTAGTAGTGTTCTGCAACTTTTTTTCGTCGAGGTGTCTGGATGCATTGAACAGCTTCACGGAGCGCGCCTCCCTCCCTCTCTTGAGAGTCTTCTGGCGAGGCATATGCCTCAGGTGGAAAACGTCGAAGAAGGAGCTTCTACATCGCGCAATTTAGCCAGCAGTCAAGGAATTCAAAGGACCAAGAGATCTGCCCTCTGCAGTTTCTTCCTCCTTAAAAAGAAGAAAATAGCCTCCTTTATTATGAGCAGCAGCAGCACAGGTGATAGCTAGCAGCAATCGATTTTCGTCCCCGGGGGCCCCCCTGGGGGGCCCCCCAGGGGGGCCCCCCTCCACATTCCGCCCTCCTTCCCACATGCAAGGCCAGGAGGCCCCCCTTTCCCCTTCCTCTTCCCCGCTGTGCAGGTTGAAGCACTGAAAAAACATAACTTGTGGATATAAAGATGGAAGATGCATGTCTGTGCGCTTTCCTCTTACCCCTTACCCCTACCCTTCCCTTCCCTCCGCCCTCTTCCCCCTCCCTCCCTTCCACGTGGCGAGCGCTCCACTGCCTTGAACTCCAATTGCGCAGCTGCCGCAGCCTGCTCGCTTCATAGCCTCCGCTGGCGCCTCCTGCACTAGCTGCACCAGCTGCTCTGCGCTGAGCGCAGCTACGGAGGGCAGCAGTTGCACTCGCTGCAGCAGAACGCTGCCTGAAAGCAACCCACGGCGACTCTCCGCTGACCAGCCAAAACAACATGCCTTCTTGTTGTGCTCCCTCCCTTACAGACGCAGCGGCGATCTCTGCAACTCTTTCTGATCAATGACGCTCCGCCAGCTGTGCTGAACAGCGAGCTCTGCAGCTAGCCAGGACAGACGCCAGCAGTTACCACAACAGAAGCTGAAGCTGAAGCTGCTGCAGACTTTAAACACTGCGAAGGATGCAGCCACAGCAAAACAAAGGGGCAGCTGCCCTTGCCGCAACCCCCAGCAGCGGCAAGCCGCCAAGCGACTCTGACACTGACGTGCCTGCCACGCACAGACACTCTCCTAGGAGTCCTCTTAGCGGCAATGACAGCAGCAGCAGCAGCAGCAGCAGCAGCAGCAGCAGCAGCAGCAGCAGCAGCAGCAGCAGCAGCAGCAGCAGCAGCAGCAGCAGCAGCAGCAGCAGCAGCAGCAGCAGCAGCAGCAGCAGCAGCAGC